GCCTGGCGGGGTGGTCCTTGGGCTGGGTCGGGGAATGGGGCAGTGGGCGGGGACGGGGGGGGGCGGCTTGAAGACCGCAGGCGTGGGAATTTCGACGAGATGGGATCCGCAACAGGAACCGTGGGGTGGGAGCCCTGGGGACCCTGGAGAGGAGTCGGGTGGGGGTAGGGACTAGGGGCAGAGGGCAAGGAGACTTGGGCAAGGCTGGGGACAAGGGTCAGGGGTTGGAGAACGGAATAAGAACTCAGTGCTGAAATACGAACTCAGCACTGCGGCAGGGGACTACCGTGGAGTTGGGGCCCCGTCGGGTACAGGTGCGAGAACAGGGCAGAGAACCTGGGGTGGGAGTGTGGGGACCAGCGGTGGACTGAGGGGCAGGGCCACTGGGCCCAGGCAGGGCAGGCTCCTCCCTGAGGGTTTTCTCCCTCCTGGCGCCTACAGGTTGTGTCAGTGGTTTGCTGCCCACAGAGCCCAGCTAGGTGCAACATGGGCCGTGGGAGGTGCTGTCTGGGTCGGGGCGGCCCGAGGCCCTGCTGGCAGGTGGACCCTGCCTTTCTGACCTGCAGAGGGAGGAGATCCTGTGTCCTGAGTGGTGCTGGAGGCAGGAGTGGCAGGAGGTTACTACTGTAGCACATCCCTCCAGTGGTCATTGGTGCATCCATGTCATCTGGAAAGGCTCTGGCTGGAGTCTTAGATACACAGTACAGGCCAGGCCTGGAAGGGCTGGGGTCCTGGAGTCAGGCATTCTCCACTAGTCTTGGGCTTATCAGTTGCACAGTCAAAACCAAATTTACTCTCTTTTCAAGGAAACTTAATATCCACAAGCTGGAGTCACATGAACTGTTTGAAAAGCATCTTTGGACATATTACACTTAGAGTGGCTCACAAGTTACTTCTTTGAAGCATTAAGAGATGCCTTATGTTAATGCTCAGTGACCATGGACCCCACAGAATCACTGCTATTGGTCATGTTTCCAGGAAGACTGTAGGTTTCTGTGGGATGCGTCATCTGTCTCATTAGGAGTCAGACTCGGAGGAGGCAACACTAGGCCAGCAGGCATTCCTTTCTGCTTTGCAGTGTTGTTAGAGAAGTAACTCTATTTCAAATATGAATTTCTAAAAAGAATCCATTAGTCTCTTTTTTTAATACAAAAGAAGTGAACTGTTTCTTAGTAGCAGTTTATTGAGAGTTATCTATGTATTTGATTGAAAAGTGCTTGTATACAGTGGCCCCCTTTGTCTTCAGGGGACACATCCTAAGGCCCTAGTGGATGTCTGAAACTCTGGGGAATTCTGGACCCTGTGTGCTCTCTGTTTTCTATCCATACATATTTATGGCAGTTTAATGTAAGAATTAGGTACAGTAAGACCAACAGGGATGTCCACGTACTGTAGTAAAAGTTACGTGAATGTGAACGTGGTCTCTCCTGTGTTTACCTTGCTGTGCTGAAGTGAGACGATGCAGTACCTACGTGAGGAGAGGAAGTGAACCACAGAGACCTGTGCAGGGGCATTAGGGTACTGTGTGCGGGTTACATGAACACAGGTGCCACTGTGTCAACATCTTGGGAGGCTGCTGAGTGAATAATGGGTGCCAGGCAGAAGGATTTGTGTCTCAGTAGGACAGAGTGCTGAGGACATGAAATTTCATCACACATTCAGAACATGCAGTTTAAATCTTATGTTTATTATTGGCATTTCCATGTAACATTTTGGACTGAGGTTGATCATGGGTGATTAAAACATGGGAAGCACCAGGCGCAGTGGCACACACCCGTAATCCCAGTGGCTCAAGAGGCTGAGACAGGAGGATCATGAGTTCAAAGCCAGCCTCAGCAAGGGTGAAGAGTGAAGCAACTCAATGAGACCCTGTCTCTAAATAAAATATAAAAAAGGGCTGGGGATGTGGCTCAGTGGTTGAGTGCCCAAGTTCAATCCCTAGTACAGAAAAAATAGAACCAGACCATAGGCTGCAAAGCCGTGGCTGTGGGACCACTGTGACCAGCTTGCCCTGTGGGCCCCAGCATCACGTTAGCCCTTCAGAGCTGCTGGTGGAGTGCGGGTTGACTCACAGCAGCTGACACTGTGTGCCTGATACTTCTGAAGCAGGTTTTGATCAGAGACCGTTTTCTAACTTTCTAGGCAATCTTAGCAGCTCAGAGACGAGGAGAAGATGTGGAGACGTCCAAGAAATGTAGGTACCCGTGTCTCCACTTGCAAAATGCGAACGTGCTGCCAGGGTCATCTGCCATGCTGTGCAGTGGCTAGGCAGTGCTGAGGCCCTGTGTCAGGAGCACTGGAGAGCTGGGGGTGGTGTTAGGTCAGCCAGACCATTACCTTCCACCCACTTCCTAAGCTGACAGTCAGCTCTGGTAGTATGTGTTCTTAGGCCTGTGAGTTTGGGACTGGTGTCACCCTGGGCCTGGGAAGCCTGTTGGTCTGATCAACATTCTGAAATTGCTTTTTCCTTGTGTCAGTTGCAACTTTTTCCTCTGCTCTATTCATACTGAACCACAGGGGCTGCTGGCCAGAACAAGCAGCATTCGATCACCAAGAACACAGCCAAGCTGGACCGGGAGACAGAGGAGTTGCACCATGACAGGGTGACCCTGGAGGTGGGCAAAGTGATCCAGCGGGGCCGGCAGAGCAAGGGGCTGACACAGAAGGACCTGGCCACGGTGAGGCTCTGGAAGCTGTGGGCCTGGGGAGGCCCGGAACTGATGCTCAGCTGGGGTGGGGTGGGCTCACCACCTGGTGGTTCTCAGGCCTTCAGTCTGGGCTTGCACCCAAAGCTTCCAGGGCAGCCAGGTCAGAGCAGCTGTGGCTCTCTCTCCTGAGACTTGGTTGCTCAGGGTAAGGCCTGAGCCTCCGGGAGCTGGCTGCCCTGTGGGGGCTGACTTGGCTTCTGCAGCACACCCCACTGGGTTGGTGCATCTAAGGCACACCTTCTCTTTAGAAAATCAATGAAAAGCCGCAAGTCATCGCAGATTACGAGAGTGGACGAGCCATTCCAAATAACCAGGTTCTGGGGAAAATCGAGAGAGCCATTGGTGAGTGTCCTCTGGCTTAGTCCTGGCAGGGGCAGCACTCTCCTGGGAGGTGGTAGGATGGGAGCACCTGGGGCCCTGTTGTCTGAGGTCAGGCCACTAGGATTCTGCCTGTGCTGTTTGAAGCATAGTGGGGACCCTAGAGCCCTGAGGAAATAGTGTCACAGGTTCTTGGCCCTATATCCCCCTCTGGCTGCCAGCCAGCATTCTCCCTGAGCTGAGTACAGAGGGACCATGGCCCTCTGGGATCTGCCCTCCAAGGTGTTGGCCACACACCACAGTCTGCTCCACAGTTCCCCTCTGCCGTAGCTGAACAAGGGACTCTTCTGGGATAAGATGTTTGTCCCCATCTTTCTAAATTAGCAGTTCATGCTTTTAAACGTTAGATGCAAAAGTTAGTCATGCCTGTATGCAAAGCCCTGCCAGGAAAGAGGTAGCCCCTCCCCAGGCAGGCCCAGGAAAATGAGGAAGGGAGCTGGGGCCCGGGGCGGAGTGGACGCCTGCTGCCAACCTGGGATTGACAGGCTGGCACTCTGGCGCTGCAGAGTGGTGAGCAGGATCCTGGCTTGTTGCAGGCCTCAAGCTCCGGGGGAAGGACATCGGGAAGCCCATCGAGAAGGGCCCGCGGGCGAAATGAGCACAAAGCCTCGAAACAGTGCGTTCCGGCTGCTCTTCTGGCTGGTTCCCCTGACCACCAGCACTGATGTGGGTCTTCTCACATGGCAAGCGGAACATGGGGTCAGGCCTGTGGGCCCTCAACCCATACCTGCTGTCAAACAAAGCAAAACCTTGCAGAGTGCTGGCTCCTCCTGGCTCTTTCCTCCCTGCCCTCATCCCTTGGACCCCGTGCAGAGCAGCGCCTTCCTGCCGTGGGCATGTGCTCAGAGCGGCCGCAGCGTGGAGCTCTGGGGAGCCCTGGGGAGCCCTGGGAGTCCAGAGGAGTCCAGAGGACGGGCCGGGGCACAGCCTCTGTGCTGCTTTCTCTGCTTTAGCTTTAAAGAGTCCTTGGGCATGTGCCCTTCCTGTGGCCTTCAGCCTGCTCTTCTAACTGGGCTTCAGTGGGGGGGGATTGTGTCACACAGGTGAGCTTCATGACAGACACCCCATTGGGACCCAACGTTTAAAGATTTATTTCTCCCCTTTGTACCCATCTGCTCAGACATTGACTGGGCATCCATCAACCTTATGGCGCCTGCGGACACAGGGCAACGCCTGGCTGTGCCCTGCTCGCGCCTCTGTTCGCTGAGCCCTGGGACAGGCAAGAGCCCATCTGGCTCCTTGGGGCATGTGGTGTCTGAAGTGGCAGGAAGGCAGTACCTGACAGCACAGTGTGGGTGTCACTGCCCTGTCTGAGGACACCCTGCAAGACCCCAAGTCCTTGCAGCAGGGCCAAGCTGAGGTGGAAGACCAGAGCTCCCAGAACCACCCTGGGGCAGAGGTGTCAATGTAGCTTCCTTAGGACCACAGTCAAATCTGTTCACACGCCTGCATGCAGGGTCCCCTTCTCTAGTCCAAAGGCCAAAGGCAGCTTGCCTGGGCCCTGCTCCAGTATCATAGGAACCCTGGTGTCCTCAGCTTCACCCCTCAACCTGGGATTGCTCAGCCCTTTATCTTGGGGTGGGGGCTTGTATAGTAGGCTTGGGGGAGCTGTGGGGGGCTGTGGTTGCCAGGCGCCCACCAAGCCAGCTGCATGTCACCATGTCCGTGTGCTGTCACCCTCAGTGTCCCTGCTGCAGGTGACTTGCATCCCCACAAGGCAGAGGCTGGAGAGCAGAGCAGGTGGGGCCCTTGCAGACCCTTGGGGCCTTGGACCTGATGGATCTGAACAGTGGCTCCAGGTCCTGAAGGCTGCCCTGTGTCTGTGGCCCTGCCTGCCTCATGTGAGGCACATGGGAGAGAGTGAGTCATCCTTGGTCCTGAGCTGTATGGCCCCAAGCATATTTCCTGGGGTCTCTCTTTGGTCTGGCCTGGAATCCTGAGGAGGGCTACTCACCCAGTGGCCAGAAATGCATGGATAACTGATCTCGGCTTGAAAACTTGGGCAGTCCTCAGGACTGAGCATTTATTCATGGAGCAAGCACCCTGTGCCATACAAGTGGGCAGTGACTGGACAGGGGAGGGCTGTGGAAGCTCTGTGTCCTCTGAGCCCCCAAAACCAGCTTCAGGGGAGGTCAGGTATCTGGGGATGAAGGTGGATCCAGCCTGGGGCCAGGTCCGAGGTGCATTCAGGGGCCAGATCCTTGTCTGGGATGGTCTATGAGCTGCTGGTGGCAGGTGCTGGGAGGGTGACTCCATCCTGGGAAGGAGGGAGGAGCCTGGTGACAACCACTGAGAGGCAAGGGCAGCAGAGGGTGCTGCAGGGCTTGGATGGGTGGGGCTCTCCCTTGGGGTCCTGACCCACCACTGAGGTCCAGTCTCTGCAGTCAGCAAGCCCAGAGGCAGGCCCCACCCACCCACACCTGGGGGTTCCTACCGCATTGAAGAGGATGTTGTCAAAGCCAGGTGCTGCCACGTCCTTGTTACTCCTGAAGGGGCAGCCTCCCTTCTGCAGCCAGTGGCGTCCCCCAAGTCCCAGCAGCACCAGGAGTATGAGGAAGAGGAGGGCCCCTCCAACCAGGGCTGGCACCATCATGGATGCTGTCATGCCTCCTGTGGGCCAGAGGGCACAAGAGCCCTTCACACCAATCACCCCCCATGCCTGGGGGTGAGGATTAATCCTGGGGCCATCTGGTTCCCCTAGTCCTGCTGGCTCTGGGTTCACCCTCTTCAAATGAGAGAGTGTTGGTATTGTCTACACAGGCTACAGCAGCAGGCTGGGGGTCGTGGCCCTCAGCCGTCTGCAACTATGCCAAGGACTGGCCCTGCACTGGGCCCAGGGAGCACAGGCAGAGGCAAGCCTGGGGAGGGGCCCTGAGGGTTAGTGGGGTAGGTGGGGAGGACACAGGGCTGGCCTGGGATTCTCCTGGGTGGTGTGCAGGGTGCCTCCTTGGAACTGTCTCCAACCTGCAACCCAGTGCTTACCCTGACTGAGTGCAGGCTGCTGGCAATGCTGCCCGGCCAGGTACTCCACATCGTCTAGAGCAATGGGCCCCAAAGCTGGCTGACCACCCAGAGTGGCTTCAAACACGATCTGATGGGGAAGTAAAGGGGTGAGGAATTGGAGGGAGCGAAGAGGGAGGGCAGCTCAGCTGAGGTGCAATGTCTCACCTGGAACTCCTCGGTGCTGGTCACCTCAACCTGGACTTCTAGCCACTGGTGCCGCAGGTGTCCACCTTTGCCCCACACAGCCAGCTGGCCCTGGGCACTGCTCAGGAGCACCCTCAGCTCTCCCTTGTCTGGAAGTGGGGGCTGGGGTGTCAGGTGCCTGGCCTCGTGTGAAGTGGAGCCCCAGACCTCTCCTCTGACCCCTCTCCCCACACCCAGGCATCCAAAGGCCCAGCCCAACTTACAGAAGTGCTCGGGAAATCCCATGTGGTACCAGAAGCGGAGGCAGGAAGCAGTGGTGGCTGGCAGAGGCTCGCTGCGCAGCCAGGCCGCCTGACCCCCTGGCCCCAGCACACTAGTTTCGAAAAAGGCAAAGTGGCCTGGAAATAAAAGGCCAGGGTGCCAAGCTGTCCCCTTGACCCTACCTGTGGTCCTTGGCCTAAGGACCACGAGCAGGCAATGCCATGTGGTGCCATGGCAGTGTGGCTGGGTAGTCACTGCCCCAGCTTGGTCCCCTGCTCTGGCCAGTACACACCTGCTTCTGTGCCTAGGGTATGGTCCACAGTGGGCAGTGGGTAGCGGGAGGGGGTGTCTCCACCACTCCAGTCCCAGCTGTACCTGCCCAGGCCAGGCCAGGCCAGGCGGCTCCAGCCACACAGGCCAGATTCAAAGTCACAGGACCCTGCAAGAACCAGCTGGTGAGCAGAGCTGTCCCCATTGCCCATCGCAGGGCACTGGCCCCCGCCAGGGAGGGGCAGGAGGGCACCACCTTGCCGAGGACAGGGCCCATCCTGAAGGGAAAGGTCGTCCAGTGCGATGTAGGAGTGTTCCATGCCAGCAGCCAGGGCCTCAAACACCACCTGCAGGTCAGGCCAGGCACTCTGCAGTCTGACCACACAGTGCTCAGGGGGAGCCAGGATCCCTGCCCCCCAGGGCCCAGGCACTCACCCTCCAGGCCTGCCCAGCCTGCACATCCACGCTGCCCAGGCGCCAGGCAAGCCCACCGTGGCCATAAACACTGAACACCTGGCGTCTCTTGCCCTCCTCCACGTGGACTCGCAGAGTGCCTGCCAGGCCAGGGCCAGTGGGGGAAGACATCCACACAGTGCCCCAGCCCTGCACAGGGCCTGTGGGACACCAGCCCAGCATTGACTCCCCAGGCTCTGCCCACAGCTCCTCACCTGGGTTGTGGAGGCTTAGGTGGTACCAAAAACTCAGGCAGGTGGGCTGAGCCAGAGGCTGGTGCTCCTCTGAGGTCAGGGAGGCCACATGGCCCTGAGGCAGTGCAATTGGGCTTGTGTCCACCACCATGTAGTGCCCTGGGGAGTGGCCAGCATCAGTCTGCCTGCCCCTGGCTGATGTCCTCCACCCACCCCTTGCCAGGCTCGGTACCTTGGGCTGTGTCTGTGGTATGGTCTGTCTGGGGGCCCCAGAGGGCGTGGCCTGAGGCGTTGGCTTGGCGCTTCCACAGGCCCTGCCCTCCAGTGGAGAAGCCGCAGGCAGAGTCCTCAAAGGAGCAGTGCCTGGGGGCCCAGCAGGGCCCGGGCCGCACAGCCACGTCGTCCAGCCCCATGGTGCCATGGTACCCATCCCGGAGGCCCTCAAACAGCAGCTGGGGGTAGAGGGCGTCAGCTGGCTGGGGCCTGCCCCCTGCACCCCTCTGCCTGGCACTAGGCTTACCTGGTACTTGGTGCTAGGCTCTAGCTGGTGATGGAGGGTGGCCCAAGCCTGGTGCCAGCGGTTGCCATGGGTGCCTGACCGCGACCATAGCAGCGTGTCCTCCCCCCCGTCCCTCCTCATGATTAGGCGCAAGGTCCCTGCAGGGTGGTGGGGTTTGTGGGGATCAGCCCCAACTGCTGACCCTTGAGGCCCCAGCAGGCACCAAACACCTCTTGGATTCCTGGGGCATCCATGGAGGCCCTGCCAGCTCCAAGGCTCACCAATTTGGGGTCCATACAGGTGATACCAGAAGCTGAGACACTCCTTGGGGGTTGCTGGGGTCTGGGGCCCTGTGAGCAAGTGGGCACCACGGCCACGGGCAGGGGGGTTTGTGGGGTCCAGGAGCATGAAAAAACCTGCAGGAGAGGCACAGGCTGGGCTCAGAGATGCACTCCCAGGGCTGAGGGCCCCCCGGCCTGAAGGCCCTCTCACCTTGGCCAGTGGTGTGGTCGTACCCAGGGCCATGGCTCTGTGTCCGACGCCAGTGGGCATCTGTGAAGTGGCCCATGTGCCAGCCGCAGGTATTCCGCTCAAAGTTACAGGAAACCTCTGGGGGCAGGGGGGGTCAGCACCCCATCCACCCGCACATCCCTCCTGAGCCCTGGGTGGTAAAGACTCTAGGGGTCCCTGGAGGTGCGTTGGGAGCCCCCTGGTGGAGATGAGATGTGGACAGGAGAGACCTTGGTCTTTCTCGGTGGTTGCAGTGGGGCTGCAGTCCCTCATTGTCACGTTGTCCACCCCGGCCCCCTGCTGGCCAGGGCTGTCCCAGTCCACTAGACTGACAAACTCCAGCTTCAACATGGTAGAAGAAAGGGACTTAGGTCAGGGCCAGGCCTGTGCCCATCCCTCACTCTGGACTGCCCTTCTTACCCGGAATGGCCGGTGGCGTGCTCCAAGAAGGACCTTGTCCACCGTCCAGTCTCCTGTGCTGCTGCTTGGGGCCTGCCACACCAGCTCCCGGGAGCTGCCCTGCAACACCACCAGTGCCAGGAAGCCTGGAGGGAGGGGTCCCGGTGGGTGAGCCTTCCCCAGACCCCCCCCTCCATGTAGGGGTGTCTTGGGACTGGGCAGAGGACCTCGGGTGGGCTGTACCTTGGGGGTCACTGTGGAAATAGTAAGCCATGTGGAGTTCACAGTTGGGGCCTGAGGGGCCCAGGGGGGATGTGAGGGCCCGGGCCTCAGGCCTCAGCTGCCCCCAGGCCTTCTGTAGAGACAGGAAGTGCCCTGGGCGGGGAAGCAAGGCACTCACAGTCCTGTTCCTTCCAGGCCACCACTCTGTTGCTCAAGGACCCCCAATTCCAAAGGACCCCTGGGGACTCTGGGCCTCACCAGCAGCAGCCCCGCGAGCGTCCCTGCCAGGCCCCCTGCTTTCCTGGGCTGCAACCCGCTGCCACTGCAGCTGCCCCACGCTGGCATCCTCCCAGCCCCCGGCCGTGGCAGCCTCAAAGTCCGTGGTGCCTGCAACAGCAGCAGTACTAAAGGGAGGGCCATGGCCACCGAGCCTCCCGCTGCCTCTGGGCACCTGCACTGGCAGGGTTCTGCAGGAGGCCTCACCACACTCCTGCTCGTCCTCGCCTTCTGGGCATTGTTCCTGGAAGTCACACAGCTGCTCTGGGGGCACACACAGGTCCCCACAAGAGAGATATCCCAGCTCACAGACCTCCTGGGGATGGAAACTGGACGGCTGGGGCCGGAGGGCCTGGACCCAAGGTCCCGTAGGCGGTGACTGTAGGTCAGACCTCCCTGTGGGGTAGAGCTGGGGTCAGGTGGAGGTTGGGGGCCACTGTGCTTCTCCTGGGCAGGCCAGGGGAGGGATTTGGGCAGGTCACCTGGAGCTGTTCTGCAGTGGTCCGACAGGATGAGGTCATCCAGGCCCACCACGCCTCCTGGACCCGTTTCCCCAGCCAGGAGGATCTGAAGGCAGGGATGCTCAGGGACACACTGGGCCCCTCAGTGCTCCCTGGGGTCTGCTCACGGACACCCACTCCAGATTCACATGCTACTTGTGCTATGTAAATGGCTGGACCCCACTCCTTTTGACCCCCAGCCACCACCTGGCCAGTCTCACCTGGAAGGGATGGGCACTCCTGATGTCAACCCGGTCTCGTACCCACGCTGCTCCCAGCTCCCCACAGCGCTTCCGCAGGAGGACAGGGTCCTGGGGGGCACTAGGCCCCTGCATCTGCAGGAGCAGCTGGAGGCAGCCGACCTCGGACCCATGCAAGTAGTAGTAGAAGATGAGCTGTAAGTGACCTCAGGCTGGTCAGGGCCTGCAGCACTCAGGCAGACAGGACAGGGGAGCCTGCATGTGTTCCCTTTCCCCAAGTCTCACCGAGCAGTTGTGGGAGCCTGAGGCTTGGAACTCAGGGCTGGAGAGGACAGCAGGGGTACCAGACTTGGCCATGGAGACTAGGAACATGCCTAGGGGAGAGGGCAGGTGTGAACTGGCATTGCTGGGCAGTTGCAAGGCAGACAGAGCCATGGCTAGGATTCTTTACTACTTCTTCTTCTTTTTGTGGTGCTGGAGATTGAACCCAGGGCCTGTGCACGCAAGGCAAGCACTCTACCAATTCAGCTATACCCCCAGCCCATGGCCAGGGTTCTCATGGACCTCACCCTGTGCACTGTTCCAGCTGTGATCTCGGTTTGGCCAAGCAAGGTCCTCAGGGCCACCAGCACTGTGGTTCCGGGTCCAGCCTTCTGAGTGGTTCCATGAACCCAGGCCTGACTCAAAGTCAGTAGCCATGTGGTGGCCTTGGGCGGAGGCAGGGCTGTTATGGCTTCCTGCGGCCACATGGCCAGCCCCAGAGTGGACACTGGCTATTCCACCTCCAGAATGACCATGCCAAGGTATTTCCTCCCAGACCAGCCCCCAGTGTCTTTCAAGGACCCTGGAGGTCAGGGTCCCTCCTCCCAGTCTCATCCTGCTGCCCAGCCCAGCCCAGCCCAGTCCTGGGTGGCCCTGGCCTCACTGCAGGTAAGCAGGTCTTCGTCGGAGCCATCCCCACAGTTGTCCTCCCTGTCACACAGCTGGTGTGGCTCTATGCAGGCCTTGTTCTGGCACTGATGGTGTCCCAAGGGACAGCTGGCCTGGGGGGCTGAGTGGGGGCAGGTTAACCTCTACTCTGGCCCCAAGACCTTGGAGTAAGTGGGCATGCTGGGGAAAGGACAAGGTGGCCTGAGCAGGGGAGCAGGTAGTGAGGGCCCCAGGGTGGAGACAGGGTGGCCTCACCAGGCAGCCCACAGCCCCAGAACTCCACATCATCCACAGCCACAGCTCCCTTGTGCGTGGCATTTCGGGTAGCAGAGAAGGTCACCTGAAGAGAGCAGAGGTCCTTAGGGCCACTGGGGTCCAGGCCTTCCCCACTCCTCCCTGCCAGCCAGAGCACTCCAGCTCACTTGGAAGTCACCCTGGATACGGCCAGTGGTCACCACCAGCTCCTGCCAGCTGGGGCCCCAGGGTCCTGCACTCTTCCACAGTGTCAGCGTCTCTGTACCATGGGTCAGCTCCAGCCGCAGCTCAGCCACATCTGCAGCAATTGGGGAGGCCCTGGAGCAGTTGCAGCCCTACACTACCTCCCCTGAGCATGCCAGCTATGCCCTGGCCACCCTCCTCTGGGGTGGGTACCCTCCTTTCTCCTTCCAGTCCCTCTCCAGAGCTACCCTACCCTAGATCTCTGGGGGTCTTGGGCACACACCTCCAGACGCTGCATGGTACCAGAGTCTCAGCTCACAAGTGGGGGCTGCCTCTTGCAGGACAGGGGAGCGCAGGGCTGCAATGGATGCCTCCTTCCCACGGTGTGTTCCCACAGCCATGTACCAGCCTGGTCCAGGTGGTGAGGTCAGGAGATGGGCAGCAGGGCAAGAGGGGAGGGTGGGAGGGCACATGGACTTGTGGGGGCCTCACCCAGGTCAGTGCCAAGTGTGTGGTCGGAGTGAGGCCCGGGACCCTCCAGCATAGCCCCTGCTCGGTCTCGGAGCCAGCTGTAGCCCGAGGTGCTGATATCCTGCCAGCCACAGGTATCCTGCTCAAAGCCGCAGGTGAAGGGGGTGCCCGGGATAGGCAAGGCCCCATGGTGCCCTGGGAGAATGGGTGGTCAGATGTCTGCCCCAGCACTGGCCTGCCCACCTTCCTGGCCCCAGCTCACCGCACTGGGCCTCGTCTGAGCAGTCCCTGCAGTCGCACACAAAGTTGCATGTGGCCTTGCTGGGGCTCTTGCAGTAGTCAAGTAGCCAGGCCCAGCCTGGGGACCATGCTGCTGGCAGAATGACAGCCATGTGGGTCTGGGCAGGGTAACTGGCCATCCCACTTTGCCCAGGACTGATTTTAGCACTGGAAGTTCCATGGACCTGAGCAGTACAGGACACTGGGCACCCAAATTCGGGGCTCAGACTCACAGGGTCAGGCAGGAAAGAACCTGGGACCCACAGAAAACTGTCAGGAGCAAACAGAGCACTTCCCCATGTTCCCAGCCCCGCTGGCCAAGCAGAGACTGCAGAGCAGAGGTGGGTGTACACAGGAAATGGGGCCTTCAAAGAGGGATACCCCCTGGGCTGAGGTTGTGGCTCAGTGGCAGAGCACTTGCCTGGCATGTGTGAGGCACTGGGTTCAATTCTTAGCACCTCATATAAATGAGTAAAATAAAGGTCCATTGACAACTAAAATAAATTTAAAAAAAAAGGGGGGGGGCACCCTTGAGGAAGGTACAGGAGCCCACATCACTCGGGAGAGAACTAAAAGGGCTCCCAGGAGGATGTCCCCCAAGGAGACACAGCATTGGGTGACCCAGTGTCCCCCACAAGCCTTGCCATCCAAGGTGGCAGAGAGAGAGCTGGGAAGATACACCGTGATTGCCCCAGGGCCTCTCCTTCGGGCAGAGAGGCTTGTTCCTTGGCAGGCTGCCGTCCTTCTCTAGGGACTCTGGTGTCAGCACTGGCATAGCACCTGTCCCCAGCACCCAGGCAGCAAGCTCAGTAAGACCAGCTGACTCACCCACAAGCAGGACCAGGGCAGGCAGGAGGGGGCCCGGAGGTCGCATGGCCAGGCTGGAGGGAGTGAGGCTGAGCCGCCTGGTGAGGACTCTGTCCAGTTATCAGTCTTTAGCAGCCCCACAGGCTGACTTGGCTCCAACCAAGGGGCCTAGTCCCTTTTGTGCCTCTGGCCCCTTGGGAGGGCCCCACTCAACAGTGATGGGCCAAGCATCTAGCTGTAAAAGTGTCCTCAGGAGGGCCCCTGGCCCCCGACCCAGGGTTGGATCTCACTTGCCTGGCTCTTTGTGACCAAAGGTCAGGCCATCCTGGGCACCTGCTCAGCCTTCCCTAGCAGAGGCTCTTTCTGAGGTGGGGTGGGGGATCCCACCAGCAGGGCTCTGTACAGCAGTGTTGGGGTGGCAGAAATCACTGTGGCTTCTCTCATGGGGCCTCTGGCCCCACCTTGGTACAGGTCAAGGTCAAGGGAGCCCACCCCAATAGCTGCATATAGGATTCCAGCATGTGTACCCCAGAATCTACCTTTGTGTTCTCCACCTTGGGGACCGTACAAGCCCAGTATGAGGGTGTCATGTTCTCCCTCCTGCCCCACATGTAGCTCAGGCTATGAATTCCCACCCCTTCATTTACTCATCCTTCAAAACTGCCCTGAGCCAGGTGCAGTGGTGCACGCCTGTAACCCTGCTGCTTGGGAGGCTGAGTCAGGAGGCTGGCCTGGGTAACATATGGAGGAGACCTATCTCAAAATAAAACAAAAAACAAAACCCTTCAGACTGTCCTGAGCAGCCATAGGCTGGGTGGTCTGTAATAGGCACAGGGCTCCTGGAAGCCCAGGAACTTCTGGTTCTCTAGGAGAAGACTCACAGTTGGGGCAGGAGGGATACCAGGACTGTGGAGGAGCATGGTTCTGCCTGACCTCCTGCTGTGTGACCTCAGGTTGCTGGTCTGTAGTGTCTGCAAAGGGCCTGCCTGGAGAGGTGGCCTGGAGGGTCTGGCCATGGGACCTGCCAGCTTTAGCCCTGGCTTCCCCCAGCACCCACTGTCACTGCATACTATGTTCTACTGTGCCTGGGGGCCCCAGGGCAGGGGCCAAGGTCCTGAGGGTGTGAGAGTGTCCAGGAGAGGGGGCTCTAAAAGCTGGAAGCCCTGGCCTTGTCAGAGTGAATGGGACCCAGTAGTGGTCCGTGTGTGGCCACAGAACTCAACCCTGAAAGCAAAGGCTGTGGGTCACACCATCTGTGTCCTTGGCTGGCAGTTGCTCTGGCCACACAAGAAGTCTCCAAGGTGGTCCCAAGGGCCTGTGATAGCCAATGTTAGCTGGCCAGGACAGTGGCCACTGGAGCTCCCCTGCCAGGAACCTTGGGCTAAGCTCTGGGAAGGGGCACCTGTGTATCTCAGGCCTCGCCTGGCCACAGGGGACCAGGTACTGATTCCTTGTGCAAGGCCTTGTGGGGCCTCTTCCTGGGTGTCCTTGGGGATAGCAGTTGCAAAGGAGCAATCAGACCATAAATGGGAGTACCCTAGGGCCCCTTATCAGACCCAAGGGGCTAAGTGTGCACTGCCACGCCCTGGGGCCTCCAGAGGCTGAGTAGAGGGGTCCCCAGTTATGACCAAGGGGCAGGAAGCCAAGACACAGGAACCGCAAGGCATACCAAGCTTTTAATTTCCACAAGCCAGGCTGGTCTGGCCTCTGAGGCCCAAAGGGCTGGCACATTGCCAAGAAATGCAAAAGAAAAGGGCTGGGCCAGCCTCTCAGGAGGGATTCCAGCAAGGACAGAGTCCTCAGTGGGGGCTGGGCCTCAGTAGCCATCATCAGCCCAGGTGACCTCGTAGTCAGGATACTTGGCCTTGATCTTCTCAGTTGAGATGGAGTGCTGGGCACGACCATAGCCCTGGAAAGGTGACAGTTACTAGCTCCACCTGGCCCTTGGCTCTGAGAGTCTAGCCAGGCCAAGAGTGGGCTTAGAAGGGGTACCAAACCCACCACCAGACAGTCCTGGGCACATACAGGTGGGGGCACAGAGGGCTCCAGAAGTGAGCTTGTGGGCTCTGAGTTGCACCCTAGCAATGACTGCCCCCAAGAGCCCCCCAGGTCAGGGAGAGACCCACCCAGCCTCCTGTTCCAAGGCAACTGTCCTCCCACCCCTAGTGCCACTTGCAAAATGTAGGGGAAGCCTTAGGCCCTTGAGAGAGAGAGGGTTCTGAACCCACTGGGAGAATCCAGGTCTCCTGTGAGGCAAGTCAGGCCGTTCTGTGTGGGGTCAAATGGTCCAGGGAGGGCTTTGTAACCAGGACAGGGACCTCAAACAGGGCTCACCATGGAGTAGCCATAGACGTGAATCTTCTTGTCCTGGCTCTGGTGGGAGATGCGCCCACCCCCCAGGCACTCGCAGTCATAGCCCTTCTTTTGCAGTTCGCCAGACACTTTGTCGTAGATGTCGGCTGGGATGTGCAGAACAGCTTCAAGAAATGCTCAGGGTGCCCTTGGAGGCCACCTCTGAGCAGCCCCTTCCCCAGTGGAAAGGAAGCCCCTCCCGGCTGGCACAGGGATGAAGGCTTCGATGGGATGCTCCACGGCGAGCACCGGGGTTAGGGAGGAGCCGGGCCGTGGCACCCCTTCCTGCGCAGGACCCAGACTTCTCTAGGTGCTGGTGCAGGACGAAGCCCACCAGGACCCACAGCCTCTCCGGCCCGGCCCACAGCCTCTCCGGCTCCGCCCACAGCCTCCCGGCCCCGCCCAGAGGCGCGCCCCGCCCTCACCGTGGTACTCCGCCCACTTGTAGCCACGCACGATCTCCTTGCACTCCCCCGCCGGAGCCCCGGAGGGCTGAGCTGAGTGCACTCGGACCAGCACGTATTTGAAGACGCCGTCCGGATCGATGTCCACTTCAGGAATCTGGGCGAGATCCGCCGCCGCCATGTTCTCCGGAGTGCCTGTCCCCGGTGCCGCGGTCCCTTCTCCCACCCAAACCCGGGCTGTGCCGAGTGCCGGAGGCGGGCTCTGTGACAGCTATGGCCAATCCCGTGGGGAGATGCTGCCTGAGGCCCGGAGCCTCAGCCAGTCGTGCCGCGGACCTGGGGCACAGACTGACCAATCGCGGTGCAGTTCCTTGCAGCCTTGTGCCCACGCTGCCGCATTTAAAGGGAAAGTGGACTAGGGAAACGAGAAGTGATTGCGGGCAGCCGACAGAAAAATTCCATTTCACTGGGGTTGGGGGAAGGCACTTTGGAGGGGGGCTGTTACGCGGCCCTTGAAGCAGGCGTAGGACAGGAGGCCCCAGGGATGCGCCCCGGAAACCCCCCAGTCCCCAGTGCCACCCTTCCGAGCACACACCGACGCCCGAGGGTCGCACCCCACCGGCCGAGGAGCTCCCTCCCAGAGCCCCCCCCCCCCCGCGACCAGTGACCTCCCTCCCCAGACACCCACGAAGAGACAGCAAGCAGCAGCTACATTCAAGTTCTATTTTACTTGGTTTGAAAGCGCTCGCCCTCTAGAAACGATTCCCGTCCAGGGGCGTTCCTGTGGGCCCTCAGGCGCGGGGCCCAATGCGGAGGTCCCGTGGCCGGGCGCAGCAGCGATTGCAGCAAGCGGGGCACCGGGCCGGTGCAAATCGCAGGCCCGGGCGGGGGCTCAGGGGTGTCGGGGTGGAGACACCGTCAGGGGTGAGAGCAGGGCGCGGAGGCAGGGCTCACAATTTATCGCGCTTAATACCCCCTCCTCTGGCTCCGAAGGGATTAGAGGATCCATGAGGGCCCTTGCACAGCGCCTGGCCTATCTCCTTTCTCAGTTACAGGTCCTCTTTGGAGCCCGGGTGTGCGGAGCAGGATGCCCAAGGGAAGAGTGGTGGGGAGAGGGCACGGCGGAGGGCTGTCTGGGTGTGCGCTCCCCAAGGCATACCAAGCTTGTGAGTAGCAGAGTGAGAGCACTGGGACCTGTGTGCAATCGTGCAGTGGAGGGACCTGACATCGGGCTTGTCACAAAGCTCTTCAGTTGAAACTCCATTGGCTGCTAACTCACTCCTCTTTCTCTACCCAGCAACTATCTGGGGATCCCCCTGAACCTTCCAGGTCCTTCCTTTGGCAGCAGGTAGATGCAGCTTCCTGGAAGGCATCTGTGCTGTCCTCCCAGCTGGTCCATCCTATGCACATGCTTCTGACCTCCTGCCAAATTAGGGCCTGCCTTTGCATGCACACCACCAGGTTCTACTCTGGCACCTGTCTAGGGCCATCTTGTTGAGTATGGGCAGACCCCGGACCCTTGCCTGGCATGTGCCCACACCCAGATGCTCTGCTTTTCCTGCCCCAAATCCCCTCTGGCTGTTGGGCTTGCCCTTGGCTTGAAGACCTCTGAGTATCCAACCTCTCCTGCAAGACTTAGACCAAGGTGGTCAGAGGTGAGAGGCTGCAGGATGAGCAACACCTCAGAGTCTGGCTCGGCACTCACACATAGCTTTCTCACTTGGGGCATGGATGCACGAAGGCTAATCAGGGTGTTCTCCAGGAAGAAAGGTCTCTGAGGGAGTCACATCCCAGAGACAGGAGGTGAGCTTAAAGTGTCTATACTAGACTTTGGTCATCACGGGCTCCTGGACGAGCAGGGAGGGAGAGCAGAGGCTTCATCAGAGCCCCAGAGCAGATATGGATCCATTTGCACGAGTAGGGTCTGTGCAGTAGTGACCCTCAGCAAAAAGGCAGAGCCTGGAGGTCCTCAGGCCCACCCCACCTCCCAGCGGGGAGCACCTAGGGCGAGGACCGGTCTCTGTGGGCCGGAGGGCTGACTCTGGAAGGTGGGAACTGGGCAGCCCGGTGAGGAGTTGTGGGGAGGAAAGAGTTGGGAGAGCAAAGTGGGGTGTGGGAAAATGGGGGGAGCTGGGAGCGGGGGAATTTGTCGGGGCAGGGCTCAAGAGAAGCAGCATGAGGGGCTGGTCTGGGCCTGGATGGATTGAGTGAGTTGGGCGGGGCTCGGGGGCGGCCCTGAGTGGACCGGGCGGGGCCTGAGTGGGCTAGGCAAGGATTCTGATCAGGGCCTGAGTGGTGTCCTCAAGCCTCACATGATATCGTCCAGCAGATTGGCGCTGGCCACCCAGTCCAGCGCGCGTGGCTCAGAAGCAGCCATGATCATGCACATGAAGGGGCGGCCGGTGCGCCGGTCTGTGGGGTAGATGGTGGTGGGCGTGAAACGTCGGTTGGCCTCCACGAACTCACAGAGCTGCTCATAAACGCGCGGGAACTCGTGGCGCAGGAATACACCGCGCAGCCGCAGCTCCCTTTGGATGTGGATGAAGGCCACCTCTCTAGCCCGCCGGCCCGCCTCGCCCTCCTGGTCCAGGCCCGCCGTGCCTGGCGGCGGGGTCAAAATCAATGTTTCCATGTCAGGCTCACGGCCCCGCACGGGGGGCGGCCGCGCCGGACTGCCTGCAGCCAGTGCTACCTTGGCGAACTTGCGCACAGTGGGCCCAGTGCTGCGAGGCGCGGGCGCCGGCCGAGCGGGCGCCCCGGAGGGCGCGGTGCCCGGACCTACCGCCACCGACACACTGAGTAGGAAGCACTCAGCCGGCTCATAGAGCCGCCCTGCGGCCGCCAGCTCTCGCGCATAGCTGCCCAGGGGCGCTGCGTGTGTAGCCAGCTCACGCAGGGACAGGTAAGTGGGCGACAACAGCAGCCCTTCGAGACCGAAGCGCAGGAAGTTGTCGGCCGAACCAGGACTTGGGAAGCCCAGGAAGAGCACGCCGCGGCCGCGGGACAGGAAGCCGACACGAGCGATGCGCGAGAAAGCGCGATGCACGGGGCCGCTGTCACGGCAGAACTGAAGCACGTGGCGGCACACGCTGCCTACGCGGCCGTACAGGCAGCGCGCCTTGTGTGCGTCCCAGTCCTCGCGGCGGCACAGGCGTGAACAGTAGTAAGTGTAGCAGCTGTGGCAGGACTTGAAGTAGAGGCAGGCGTTGAACATGGTTTCCGTGCGCCGGCAGCGCGCATTGGAGCAGGTCATCAGATCGTCCTCGTCCGCACTGGGTTCTGGAGACCCGTTGGCTGCCTCGCCCGGGCCTGCAGGCTCCTCGACGCTGCCAGCAGAGGCAGGGGGCGAACGCGGAGGCGCCAGCGCCGGGGCTCCAGGGCCCGTGGGCCGTGAGTCCAGCGCGCTGCGGCGCAGCTGGCGGCCCAGCCCCTCTGCCGCCGGCTCTGGGGCTTGGCCGGCCGGTGGTCTGGAGTCGATGACCAGATCGGTAATGAGCTCGTCTAGCTGCTCTAGGCTGCGCTGGCGGCCAGAGGTGGGGCCCATGGGAGCCACCGATGAGGGCAGACGCGGCCGGCCTCCCGGCAGCTCCCAGCCCCTGACAGTCGGGCGTTCGGCGGCGCGCAGGTCGTTGTCGGTGATGGTAATCTCTGGAGTGACATACCAGTTACGGCTCAGGCCTTCCCCCGCACGGCCCTTTTCGGACAGCGAGGTCTCAGACAGCGAGAGCGCCGCGTAGCGTCTGGGTGAGGTGGACAAGTTCACTATTACTGGCGCGCGCCGGCCTTCGGGGGATGCGCCCCGCGGCTCCCGCACCTCCCGCCCTAGCAGATTCTCATAGCTGCGGCCCCGGCCTAGGGGGTCCTCCCGGCGAGGCCCTGGCGCCAGGATGTTGTCCCATGAGCGTGAGTAGTGGCGGCTGTCTGTGGCCAGCCGGGGCGGGCTGGTGCCGGTGCCGCCATGCCATGAGGCCAGCAGCGGGCCGGGGACGGAGGGAGGCACTACCTGCAAGGTGCGGTAAGGCCGGGGTCCCCAGTCGGCCCAGGCTGAGCTGTTGCGTGAGTGCGGGTAAGTCCGAGCTAGGGCGTCACGCTCGCGGTACCTCCCGAAGTCCTCTGTGTAGAAGGTGTGGGCCCGAGGATCCTCAGGAACGTAGCGGGGACCAAAGGGCAGTCCATAGGCCCTGGGGACCTCCCCGTAGTAGGAGCGGGAGGGCGGTTCCTGGATCGGGAAAGTGCGCACTTCCCCTCCATAGTAGCCGCCCCCACGCCTCGGACTGGGACCCCGGGTCTCTTCGGATGGGTAGGGCCTAGGGCAGTAGCCATCGAAGGGAGGACCAGGGCTGGCCGGAAATCCTCCTGCATAGCCCTCGGGCTCCTCGGTGTAGAAGAATTGTGTAGGGCCTGGAGGTGTGCTGAAGGGCTGACTGCGGCGCTCAGAGTAGTCCCGAGGCCCAGGCAGGGGCCCGTCGCAGTACAGCGCCCGGGGGTCCGCACAGTACAAGTCACTGGGGGTGGGGGTACGGGAGAGCGCCACGTGGCGGGGACCAGGGACCGTAAGGCCGTGGAACTGCGGGGCTGCACGGGCCCAGGACGTGTTGTCTACGGGCCCACAGGGCCGCGAACCCCGGGCGGCGTGCTGCAGCACAGCGTCATCTGGCTTGATGTCCAGTCGGCATCGGACATGGGGGGCGGGCCCCGTGGGGGGCTCTGGTGGCGCACAGCGGCCAGGGGCGGCACACAGGGGCGTGATGCGGCCAGGGCCGCTCCGTTGTGGCTGCAGCTTAATAGGGTGCAGTTCGTTGGCGAGCGCGCGCAGCGCGGGGTACGCAGGCTCCCGGCGAGGCGACCCCTCTACCCGCATCGCACGCTGAGTCTCCCGGCCTCGGCGCTGCAGCACCGGCGGCGAGGTGGGCGCAGGTGCCAGGCCCGGGGGCGCGCGGGGCGCGCTCTTGGAGCGGGCGCGGCGCCGAGGTTCGCCTTCTCGGGGCCGCGCGCGCGGAGCAGCGGGCTCCTGGGGTGGAGGCTCTGGGTGGGCCTCCATGGCCGGCCCGTCCAGTGCCTCCAGGAAATCGAAGCTGCGGCAGTGGCGCTTGTTGAAAGGCGCGGGCGCAGCAGGCCGGGCCACGGATTGCTCACATGGCTGGCGCCTGGACGCTGGCCCCGGGGCCGCCACCTTGATGTCCTGGTACACGGTCGACACCAGCAGGTCCGGTGGGTCCGTGCGGGTCATCTTAAAAGACGTCCCCAGGCTGGCGGCTCCAGCTCACGCGGCCTTTTGGGGCTTTTGCCCTGGGGGGAGACGCGGGTCAGGGCAGCCCCCTCTGCAGCCCAGGCCCCTTACCCTCCCACCACCCTGGCCCGGCTTACCTGGGGCGCAGGGAGTGAAGCAACCCTGGCTGCAGGCCTTTGCCAAGGCCGCAGGCGCTTGCTCCATGCCGGCCTTAGAGGTACCCATGCTGACCTTAGAGATTCCTGCAGATGGGGGTGGGCCAGGTCAGCCTGAAGGGCTTAGCCTGCAGTGGTCCACGCCTTCTTGTCCCTAGGCAGAATTCCTCTCCTTGCTAGTGACCCCTGGGCAGGTTTGGATAGACAGAACCCCCTTTCTTGGCAGAGCAGGCAGGTGGGTAGGAGAGGAAAGTGGGGAAATGGTCCTAGGACTACTGCCCTCTGGTGTCCACAGCTGGAATGATGGGGCTCATTTCAGCTTTACTGGAATTGATTTACAGGTATAGATTCGTGTACAATGCCCAATGCAGAGTGACCCTTTTAATTGTGCAACGTGAGAGGGAAAGTCCAAGGACCCTAGCCTTAGCCAGTCCTACAGAAAGTCTCAGACATCCCCACTAGCCTGCTGACCAGGCTGAGCACAGTACCCCTCACTCAGGGTTTCAAGGGCTAGGGACACTTGACTGCATCCAAAGCATCCAAAGCAAAAATGTCCTCAACTCCGAGTGGCCCAGGCCATAAAAAAGTCCTCAGAGAGCATGCCTGGGCCTCCTTTGACCCCAGCTGTCTTAGGGTGGCTGAAATCCACCAAGCTTGATGGGACAGGCAAGGAAGGCTGAAGATCGCCCCCACCAGCTTTGCATAAGTGCACATGGACACCGCCCGGTGTATACATGGCAGCCTCAAAGTCAGGCCCAGGCCATGGAACCATGTACTTATGGCGTCCATCTTCCTCAGCTGAGAATTAGCTCACTTGGCCAGGAGGCTGCCAGCTGCGGGGGGGGGGGGGGGGGGAGGCAGGGTGGAGGGCGGGGAAAGCTCCCCCACTGCCTCCCAGGAGAGGGCCCTACCCCCTCCTCCTTCCACTCCCGAAGGCTCCATGGAAACCTGTGGTTCTTCAGCCCCTGAGCTGCAGGCTTGGCTGGGTCCAGGCTCAGGTTCAGATATGGGCCACAAGAGCCTCCAGGTCCCCAGGGCCAGAGGCTGGCTGGGGAGATGCTCAGAAAGAGGTGACAGCCCTCCTCCTCCTACTCAGCACCCATTTGGGGGGCATCTGCCCCAGGATAAACTGGGGGAATTAATGAGGGGCTAGCCATGCCCTCACCTGGCAGGACTGTAGGTGGACAGGCTGTGAAGAGTCAACTGTGTCCCAGCTTTACATCAGATTTCTGCTCACAGGGCTGCTTTTGGGTCAGGGCCACTAAGTCCAGTCTATGTCCCCATCCCAGGCTAATGCCCACACCAGTCAGACCCCTCTTTCATCCTAAGCTCAAGGCCAGGCTGGAATCTAGGCTGGATGACAGGGTGTGAGGCTCCGCCCCAGGGAGGTGACAGCCAGCGTTGCCAGCTGCGGCTGTCAGGACCTGGACTCTGACACCCCCTCCCTGTGGGGATGGGATGGCGTTGGGCAACTCCAGGACCCTGGGTCTTCTGGAGCCCACACGGATGGCCAAGCAGCCTTCCTTACCTCCCAGCCCTGCCCTGGCCTGTCCTGGAGCAGCCATCGCAGGAACTAGCCTGTGCTGGTTGGGGGCAGGGATGTCCCATCCTCTCAGATAGCTTCTGCTTGACAATAGCATGCTAGGCAGTTCACCCTGGCCTCTTACCTGGACGTTGCCCGAATCCTGGGTGGGCTGCACCAGCTCCAGCCCGGTCCTCTGTATCCCCCGCACTGCTGCGCCGGGGCACCGGCAGAAGCTTCCAGGCAGCAGCGCTGATCCTGGCCTGGCTGCTCAGTACTGCCCCCAATGGCAGCCAAGGGGGCAGCACTTAAAGGGGCCGCACCCGGTGGGGGCTGCGCAGCAGGGCTAGGGCCCTGACTGGTTTGCTCTTGCTCTGCTTTGGAGCTTTGCTGAGCACAAGGTTTTCAACATTCCCAAAATACAGGTCTCAGGGTCCTGAACCACGTCCAGGAAGAAGCCTGATGGTCTCACCAGCACCACCTCCAGGGCACCTGCACAAGCAGCAGGCAGCTTGGCAGAGTCTTAGGTCAGGGACCTGGAGGAGCCCCAAGCCCTGGCCTCACTGCAGACTGGTCAGGGGCTCCCAGAATGCATGTCTCCGGTTAAGCCCAGGCAGGAGCAGATGGGTGACTCCCTGCCCTGTCAGTCTTCCCAGGTACTGTCTATTTTGGAGCTTGAGGTGCCAAAATCTCAGCAAGTACCTGGAGCCAGATGGCTCACTCAGTCCAGAGCGGGTCCTTGGCTGTTTGTGTCCAGGCCAGTGGGCTGCGATTGCCCACTGCCCACCAGGAGGGTCTGCATGTGGCTCATTCTTCAGCCACATGGCTCTGTCCTCATTCCAACTCTTGCCAGCCCTGTGACCCAAGTACCAAGCCCTGGGCTATTCCAGCTGAGTGGGGAGGGGAAGGATGCCTCTGCTGTCTGTCCTGCTGGGTAGGGCCCCCACTAGTGTCCTACTGGGGCCACCACAGTGCTGCTGTGTGGTCCTGGGCAAATTCATTTGCCGTGAACCTGTCCCACGTCAGGACCTCACAAGCTGTGGGCCACAAGGTCAGGCTCTAAGGTCAGCTGATTCCTGGCACAGACCTGCTCAGTGGAGAACTGTGCCTCCAGGATATACTGCACCCTGGCAGGGGTCTAAGGGGAGAGTTTGGGCATTTGAGACAGGCTGGCCTGGCCTACTGCATGGGCAGGAGATGCTGCATTGTGCCCCATCCCTAACGTCACCAGCTCACAGCTCTGCCTGCTGGCCCCTGGAGGATTCCATGGCAACATCCTGTGGTAGGCGGGGGGCTGGATGCTGCTGATTGCTGGTGAGGGTGGGGCTCTAAAGGCTGCAGGCAACTGCCCAGGAGGAAGGGAGGCTGTATGGGGCAGGGCACATTTGGCCTCACTGGGTTGGGCCCTGGGTATTCTGCAGCAGCTGCCTGGTGTTGGCCTAGGTGCACTACACCCAAGATAGCCTTGGCAGTTCAGCATAGACAGCACATAGCACATCCAACGCCAGGTGGGGCCCCTGGCTGAGCTGAGGCAGCCAGTGGTAAGTCAGAGACCACTTTTAGGTGAGGGAAGCTGCTTCTGGAGAAGGCGTTTGGGGCTGTTAAGAGAACCTAGGTGAAGGAGTGGTAGGCTGGTCCTACCACAGATGGTTCACAGAGCCAAAGAAAGGAAAAGAACAGACGCGGTGGTAAAACCAGAGCTTTATAGTCTGAGTGGAGTGTCTGAAAGGTGCCTCCAGCTCCAGCCTGGCTCACCTGCGCAGAGGTGCAGCTGCGCCCACCCTCTCCCAGGACAGGCCTCACCCTGCAAGGTGGGTGTGCCACTCTCCCATGAGTGTGCACCTGTGCTCAGGGTCCATGGGAAGGGATAATCCACAGCCCAAGGCTTGCGACAGGAAGCAGAACCCATTGGCATGCTGTGGCCCTGGAGAACTTGGGAGGGCAAGCAGGAGCAGGGCTGGGTGGTGGACATCTGAGAAGCAGAGCAGCCCCATGCCCTGCCTCTGAAAACAGACCCTTGCGGGTCCCTCCTCTGCCTCAGTCACTTCCCTGAGAAACGCTGGGGACTGGCTGTGGCTCTTCCTGGAGAGGACCAGGTCATCCACCAAGCCAGCTGCAGCCCAGCTGTCCCCTCCCTCCTTGTAGAGCAGGCTCATGCTGGCCTGAGGCCCAGCACCTGTGGCGCCTGGCCAGAGGCCTCTGGCCACCAAGGCCTGGCCCTGGGCCTCCTCCAGCAAGGAAGCAAGTGCAGAGCGTGCTGGGCCAGGCCACATGGGGCAAAGGCGATGGCTGGGACACGCGGTAGGGTGGTCCTTTCCCAGAACAGTGGTGCAGGCTACAGCTCCTCATAGTCTCCACCCCCAGGGTGCCGGCCTGGGGCCCCGCCCCCCAGGAAGGCCTCTAGCTCGGTGGTGCTTCGAGGGGGCTTCCTCCTCTTCCTCCGCTCCTCCTTGCCCTCCTCCTTGTCCTTGCTCTTCTTATGTTTGCTCTTCTTCTTTGCGGCCTTTTCTTCCTCCTGGCAGGGGGACAATCAGTCACCTGGGGCCACTAGGGGGCCATAGCCTACCTCCCCCCAGTGCACAGGCCCAGGCCAGTAGAGGGTGGCTGATACCTCTCTGCTCTTCTTCTTCTTCTTCTTCTTCTCCTTGGTGAGCGGCCTGCCATCTTTGTCTGTGTGGGAGACAAGCTTCAGCTGTGGCTACCTTGCCCAGGTGGCGTGCTGGGCAGAGGCTTCTGCAGCAGCCCACTGCAGGTTGGGCCTGGCCACGGGTGACCTTAGAATCTCTCATGTGCTCAGGCTGACACACCATGAATAGGCCTGGGAGGAAACTCCTGCTACAGTGCAGGGTTAAGCTGCTGGTCAGGTTCTGAGAGTGGAGGACCAGGGCCAGCCTGCTGGGGCTGGAACCACCAGCAAAACCACGTGTGCTCAGAACTGCAGATCACAGCAGCTTTGTCCACACTAGGGGCCAACTTTGGAGTAGATGCAAGCTCTCAGAGTGCTGCCACCAAGTGCCTGCTATGTGGACCCCCAGCTGTCCACCCCTCCAGTCTGGTCCCAAACCACAGCCCTAGAACACTCATAATCCTGGGGTGCTGGCAGAACAGTGAACATCTGGGGATTAGAAGCTCAAACTCTCAGGCTTTGGCCCTGCCCCACACTGCTGGTATTAGGCTTGTGCATGTGGCTGCCTCAGTCCTGGGCCACACCAGGAGGTATAGCATAGCTGGAAGACCCCACTGGCCAACAGCTATCCCAAGGGAAAACGCTCAGGCTGGGCTGACTCTTTTTAACACTGGCCTTTGGACAAGGATCATAGCCTGTCTCTCCAGGCTCCAAAGAGGCCAATGGATCCCCACACACGCCCACCTTCCTCACTGCTCTCCTTGGGTCCTGTCTCGTCCAGCCCCAGCCCAAAGAGATCGGCATCGTTCTTCATTCTGAAGGAGGGCACAGGAGGCCTGGGTGGTGGGAGTGTCTGGGCCGGGCTGGTGTCCTCGTCAGTCACGTCAGAGGGGTCTTCTCTCACAGGGAGCTCATCCTGGACAAGGAGAAGCTGGTAGGGCCACTGTCCCTTTCCACCCCCATGGTTCCCTGAAACAAGGTGGGGAGTTCTCAGGGGACTCCATTGACAGGTGTGTATGCTCCCAAGCCCATCCTAGAGTCAGGACCAGCAAGGCCTATGTAGGATGTGGGACATCCTGCACAGGCCCCATCTACTGTTCCCAGGCGGCACAGTGTCACAGCAGGACAGGAAGCCAGCACTGACCCATCTTCTTGGGCCCTCACCTCCTGACCTCCATCTCAGGAGGACAGTCAGCAAGCAACCTGTCCTCACCAATTTTCGCTGAGTGTCCGACTCTTCGCTCTCAAAGTCAGGGTCGTCCATGACGAAAGACAGCATCTGGGCAGCAATGGGCCCCTCAGGATCACTCTCTGAGGACGACACCTGCCCATCTTTACCATCTCCAGGTCTGCGAGAGGAGCCCTTGGTGGCGAGTTTGGGTGGCTTCGTGCTGCTGAGCTTCTCAGGCCCAGAGCTAGTGGGAAGCCCGCCTGGCCAGGAGGGCGCTGTTGCTTGTGTGGGAACTGCTGTCTTCTGTGGCCATGAAGCCTTGGATGACCTTCATGGCAAGAAGGGTCAGGAACTTGGAGGCCACCCTGGGATGCCCTGTCCCCCAGCTCCTGGGCATTCCCTGGGGGCCCCACCCATACCGTTTTGGCTCTGGCTGTGAGCACTGCTGGGGAGGCAGGGCAGCACTTCTGGAGTGACCTGCCACCTCCTCTGCTTCCTCCTCACTCGAAAGACTGATGTGTGTGCTGGGGATGGGGCCAGAGGGCAGCAGGGGTTTGCCACGGGGCTGGTCTTCAAGATCCACATCGTCTTGGAAACCTGCTACCATCGGGTTCCCTCCTAAGGCCTCCCCGTCACTGCAAAGGAGGGGCAGGGCAGTCAGAGGCCACAGGGAACCACGTGCTGCTGGCTCCTCACCCTGGTTGCCTGTGGGGCTGCCCCACCCTGGGTGTGTGCTCCAGTGGGGAGACCTGAGCAGAGATGGGTGGGGAGGTGGGCAGTGGTGCCTGCTGCTAGCCAGTGGGGTGGCCAGTGGGAAAAGGGGCCCAGCTTGGGCACCTGGGCTTATCCATCTATGCATTTCTGGTAGAGAAGCCCACTTTCACCATGATGTGCCATTGGGAATGCCAGTGGCCACCCACGGTGGGATCTGCCAAGTGGGACTGGAGCCTGGGTTTGAATCTGGGGATCAGCTGGAGATGGTACTTAGGGCAGAGTGGCAAGAGGGGCTGGCCCCAGAGGCCAGACCCAGGGGGAAGGGTATGGCTCAGAACCCAGCTCTGGGTTGTGGTACCATATCCTGGTATGCAAGGCACATGGGCCACAGGTGCAGGGGCCACATCTGCAGCTACCAAGGTATTAATTTTTTTTTTTTTTTGAGGGGGGTACTAGGGATGGAATCCAGGGTTGCACTACTACCTAGCTATGCCTCTAGCCCTTTTTATTTTGAGACAAGGTTTTGCCAAACTGCCAAGGCTGGCCTTGAACATAAAATTCTCCTGCCTTGGCTTCCCAAGTCACTGGAATTACAGGTATGTGCCAGTGGGCAGTGTGTGCACCTAGCTCAGCCTCTCCTCTCTGAAGTGCCTGCTCTGGCCCACCAGGAAATCTGAAACCCAGGTGGCCTTGCCTACAACCTTCAAGTGGACCAGCCTAGGGATGTGCTCAGGGCCCAGGCACTTCCCTCTGCTCTCCACTTAGCTCTGCTTCTGTCCTCAGTGCCGACTACTTCCCAGAGAACACCAGGGATGCTGTGTGACACCCCCAGGGGTGTCTTAGACATCTGTGCTCAGGTCTGCCAACTATCCACACCTGTCGCTGTCCTGCTGTGGGCCTGCACCACCATTCTCACTCCTGGGCAGGACTGTGTCTTCCAGGAAGCTTCGATCCAGCCTGTCTTCAGGAACAAAGTCCTCAACATTCTGGACTCTTGCTGGGACTTCTACGGCTGGGGCAGGTTCTGTAGACAACAGATGCCGGCTCCTGAGCCCTCTGTGGGCCTGTCCGCAGGCCAGCAAGGGGTTAGGGTGGTGGCTTGTGTGACTGGGCTGAAGACCAAAGCTGCCTCCAGAGCTTGGCCATGGGACCACTTGCCCAGGAGGAAGGGGGAAGCTTGCCAGGGATGGGGGCCATATCCTGGTATACAGGGCACATGGGGCCACAGACACAGGGTGCCACTCCATGAGTCCACTTAGTGAAAGGGCTGCTTCTGGGCCTACCTGGAGGTGAAGGGGCCACATCTGCAGCTGCCGAGGTACCAAATAGCCGGGAGATGATGCTGCGTCGCTGGGGTGGGGGTTGGGCAGGGATAGAGGGGTGTGCAGGAAGGGGCGGGGCTTCGGAGGAGGGTGCAGAGGATATGGGTAGCACAGGGGGGCAGGCTGAGGAGGTGCTGGGGGGCAGCTGGGGCGCGGGCTGGGGTGTGCTGGGGCTAGAGCTCCCTGTGGACACAGCACTTGGAGGCACAATCGGCGACTGGGAGCCTGAGGATGGGCTCTGCCCATTGGCTGCCAGAGGGGATGCGTGACCGCGGCTTCGAGCCTCCATCATCTCAAGGAAGCTGGAGGGAGGGCAGAGGGCTGGAGTGAGGCCTCTTAGCTCTCCCTCCCAGGCTCCAGAGGGCAGTCTTTCTGCCATAGAGGTACTGGAGTATCCAGCTTGCATCATACCCAGGAGGACAGACGATGAGGCCTATCCAGTTGTCAGCCACCCCCCCCCCCCATAGCTTCTGCCCTGTGGAGGAGGTACTGGGGATGGAACCAGGCCTTGTGCATGCTAGGCAGGCACTACAGCACTGACGTACACCCCAACCTGACCCAGGCTATCTTGCAGGCAGAACATGTGCTGCTCAGTGGCCAGGCCATTTGGGATAACCTGTCCTGTTTACTGCCACTCTCCAGCACTGGATCCTTCCCAAAACCAAGTTCTCAATTCATGCTGGCACCAATCTGGAAAATTGAACCCCACTAGGGGCAGGAGGCAACCAAGTTCCATCAGGGGCCAGCTGGTCTGGCCAGAGCTCGGATGGGCCATGTGGCTGTCTGCACTGGCCTGTGACCACACACCTGGTAGTCAGCAGGTGTGGCTCATTCCATATAAGGAGTCAAGTCAATAAGTGACACAGAAGTAGCTGCCCATCCAGGCCCACCTGTGTGGACTGTGACTTCACAGCTGCACAGGCTGAGGGAGGGTCTGCAGGATCTGTGCAAGGAGGCCTGACACTGAAGCTTGAGTATGCGTGGTCTGCCACCATCCACCCTGTCCCCAGGAGCCTGTTAGAGGGGCTGGGCCCACTCCACTGTAAGTGTAGCTCCGTTTATGATTTATTTCCAGTTGTTCCAGACATGCACTGACCTGACTAAATATTTTATTATCACACATTAATAATACAAAACCTTGGCAGAGGAAAGGGAAGGGCTGCAGGTGGCAGCATGAGGCACCTGTCCAAGGGGGCCGGGTAGTCAGGATGGGGGCACCCCCAACCCATGCTGTACCCTCAAGCTGACTCAGCAATCCCAGGTGTGCAGCTCCCTCCACCACCTCACTGGGCAGAACAAAGGTTGGGCCCAACCCATATCTGGACACTGGGGCCCACTGGTAGCACGCCCCCGTGGAGGTGCTGGCCTATAGGTCCAGCTCCCAGGCTCACGCACATGCCATAATTCTGGTCCTCGGTCTCCTGTTGCACTGACAGCTCCTCCAGCGTGGCATCAATATCCAGCTGGTTCGTCTCCAGCTGCCGCAGCAGCGTCTCCCTCTGCAGAGACCAGTGGACAAGGCTGAGCAGCACCCCTCTCCACCCTGAGCATCCCACTGGGCAGGACTGCGAGGTGTGTGGGGTCTGACCACCTGTACAGCTGGCCCATGTGACTCAGAAGATGGCCACATAGGATCTGTACCTGAAAGCAGCCCCCTTCCATTTCCACAACATGTCTCTGGAGGTTCAGGAGCCCCGCAGTTCATCTAGAGAAGTGCACCTGCCATTTCCATGGCACCCCATGCATGTGCAGCCTTTTCTGATGCAGAGCTCAGCCTTGCCAACTACTTGGGTAGAAGACAAGGGTGATCCCCATGCACACAAGGAGCCCTGGAAGGCCTAGGAACAGCTTTGGTGGCAAGGCTCAGCCAGCCACGGCCTAGGGCAAACTGTAGCCCTCCAAGACCTAAGCTGAGCTGACTTTTCCTCTGGGTTGCACCAGCCCTGGCCTCTCACAGTACTTCTCACATTTAGATTCAAATTCAGTAAAATACAGATGTTGCACCCTTGATCATGATATCCATGCTGTGAGTGCTGCAGGCCACATGTGCGCAGTGCTGGGAAACAGAGTGAGCCCCACAGGACCCTGCACACCTGGCCTTCCTCCTAACTGATGGCTCCCTGCATAGCCCCACGCTACAGGAGTCTCATGACTGTCAAAAGGGAAAAAAGGCAAGAGGGAATGAAGTCTGACATCTAAAGAATGGTGGCAGGACTGTGGGTGTCCAGACAGACAGCCCAGGCCTGTTTCACTCTGTTCCTGTCCACCAGCTACAGCTGTCCTGGCCCTAGTCCTCTGGGTCCATGCTCAGGACCCATGGAACCCTCCCACTCTTGTCCAGCTCACTGCTGTCCCTGGGCTGGGAGGTCACCACACATGGTCTGTGTGCCTGAAGTACCTGATACTAAGAGTGGGACGGTCCCGGGACTCCCAGCACTCAGCTGCCCACGAGGCTATGCCCACAGCGGAAACTGGAAGGGCTCCAGAGGCTCCCGAGGAGTCCACTGCCTCCCTTGTCCCATGACAAGACACATGTGCCCCACAGGACATGTGACGAAAAGCCAAGGAGCGTGTCTCACTTTTGCAGTCTTCTGTCACAACCCAAGCCACCATGGAGCCACAAGAAAAGCCTCAGCTGGACCCAAAGGAGGGTCAGTCTGCAAGACAGCTGCCCAGACCTCAGAAGAGCAAGGTCATGAACCCCAAAGCAAATCAGGAGGGTGAGGCGCACACTAGTGGGGTCCTAGAGGGAACAGGGACAGAGGAGGATAACAGACCAAAGCTGGTTCCTTTGATAAAAGTACCACAGAAACAAGACAGAACGCTAGACACTGGGTGAAGGACCTAGGGCCTCCTCACCAGCTGCACAGCTTTACTAACTGAAAGAATCCCAGACAAAGGCACAGTGCCAGGCCTCCTCGCCTCACCTGCACCCAGGAAGTGGGGACGACTCGGGCAGGGCACACTAAAGCCTGTCCTTACAAAATGGTCCAAGGGCCACAGTCCAGAGTGAGTGCTGGCCCCACACATCCCCTGGAATGCACCCCATGATGACAGGGCATCAGTGTGATGGGGACTTCTGCATCTGATGTGTATCTAAGGAAGGGTGGGCACCACAGCTATGCCACAGGCAGAGGGGCTTCCGATGTGGGGACATGGCCAGCACCCTACCCTTGGTGGCCTGGGTCAGCTCTGCTGCCTATCCCAGCTCCAGCCTGCTGGGTCCTTGCTGGTGGCCCTACTTGCATGATGAGGACTCACCTGCAGCTGTAAAAATGGGATGTTGAAGAACTTGTGCAGGTACTTGAGTCCGAAGCTGTTCTTCATGGAAGACTCTGCATAGCGGAAATAGGAGGAGCCTGGAGGCCTGTTTTCAGAGAAGGAAGTCAAGAGAAAGGCCCTTGGTGGGGCTGGGCTCACTCCTGTGTCCAAGACCACAGTGGGCTTCCCTCCTGCAGCAGGCTGAGGACCCACTACAGCTACTGGACAAGCGGGACCAGTCGTGGAGCTCTGGATCCCTCCAGGGTGGCTTAAGGAATTGGACAGGAGCCAGGTAGCCTGTTGGGGGTCCTGGCACCTCACCCTCACTGACATGTCCCAGGGCACTGCCATACTGTGGAGACCTGAGCCTCGGGGTTCCAGACCCCAGTGCCCCAGGCTTTCCCTCCTGGCTCCCCAGGTTGGGCCAGAGCTGTCACTCCATCTCTGGCACAGTGTTGGGAGAGCTTGTTCATCCTTCCCCAGTGCTATCCGAGCACAACACACTACCCCAGGTGGAAGCAGGCTCAGGGCACTCACCTGTCCAGGTGGTCGATGAAGTCTCGCACATCGTCCGGCAGGATGACTCGGTGCTCACCCATGTCTCGGTAGTTGCCCAGCACACACACCGGCACGTGGGTTGGCACTTTGGGAAGCTCCCGGAGGACGTAGTTGAAGGTCCTTTGGGAGGGAGAGTATCTCAGCCTCAGTCGCACCACCCCAGAGGACTGTATGGACTGGGGCTGCCCTTCACCTCTAAGACCGCATCATTGTGGGAGGGCTCTGGAGAATAGCAGTGAGCACTGCAACCCTGCAGTCTGCAGCCCTGTCCACCTCTTCTCACAGACAGCACGCACTCTGCACCCCAAGTCCAGGTGCCCTATTCCTCTGCCTTTCCTTGTCCATGTTCCTACAAAACTGCCTCCAGTTTTGCCCATTTCCAGCATCACCTGAAGGAACACATCACAGGTGGCTTATCTCAGCTTCTGGCATGCACCACGGCCAGGGCTGCAGCTTGTCCACATCTGCCTGTCGACTGGGCTCTTAGATGCCATTGCTGATGTTTCTGCTGCTGGCTGAGTTGTCTTCAGGGCCCTGCTCCTCAGAACTATGCTGCCAGGTTTGCAGGGTGAACAGGCAGGTCTCTCTAGAACTGACCTCACATGGGTCTTCCTTGTTGCTTGGCTTCACGGGTTGTCCCAAACTGTTTTCCAAGTGGCTTGGAAGGGTACAACTAGTGGTGTCACCAAGCTTCCCCACGGAAAGGAAGTGGTGGAAATACCACATGCCCATAATTGCAGCAGCCTCTCCTGCATCTCCCTGCCCACGAGGTGCCTCCAGGTTCACACACTGGCTTGATGTGTGCCCCTATGTGAGCCCTGGGAAACAGCTGCAGCCTCAAGGACCCCGACAAGCACCTGACCACTTCCTCCCTGAGGCAGCTTGGCCCTCCTGCACACTCTCCACACTGCAGCCCAGGCACACTTGCAGCCCCATGCTCAGCCCAGCTATCTGGTCTTCACTGGCTTTCAGGGCACTGCCTGTCCTTCCAGTTCTGCCCCCTGGAAGGTACAGGGGCCTCATGTGGCCTGTCTGCAAAGAATACAGTACACTTCAGTGGAGCTGAGGTGGCCCCTCAACATCCAAACTCGATTTCACATGGTCAAAGCCACTTCCTCCTCCCCAGGCCAATGAGCCACCAGAACCTGTGCAGGAGAAATGCTCTCCTCCCAGCTCAGCAACAGAGCGAAGAGTGCAGCTTTGTATGCGCGTGTGCAAGAGGTGCACTCCACTGAGTCACAATTCATGGCCCAGGATACAGTGACTGCCTGCTCTGTTGCCAGAATGCTGCCAACAGCCCCAGAATCTGGTGGTCAGCCCTCCTCAGGTGGTGCTGTAGCATGTGGTCCCTACAGGCCGTGAGGGAAGGAATGAGGATGTGTGTGCAAAGCCTCCAGACCCTGCGGGCCCAGGTCTTCAGACTCAAGTCAATGGAGTGTGCCAAGTGTAAGATCTAGCTCCCAAAGCCTAGCATGGGAACCCACAGAAGCCTGTGTATCCCACCATGTAGAAACATGTCCTTGAAAGAAAAGCAGCATGCTTCCTGGGTAGCAGTAGTAGGACTCCAGCACATATGTGCCCACATTACGAAGAAAAAAATGGCTGGGGGAGGGGCTGGGGTTCAGCAGTAGGGTGCTTACCTAGCACGTGAGAGGTGCTGGGTTCAATCCTCAGCACCACATAAAAATAAATAAAGGTACTGTGTCCAACTACAACTTAAAAATATATATATATATTAAAAAAAAAAAAAAAAGGCTGGACTCTGCCAGCAGCTAGTGGTGGTGCTCTCTTGACAGTTTTCTCCTGCATTCTCCAGTTTTCTATGATGAACATGGATTATGCAGGGGCTCTGCATGTGGCTTGTGGTAGAGCACTTGCCTAGCCAGCATGGCACAGTCATATGAATAAGTAAGTGATGGCAGACCCTAAGGCAGTGAGAGGCCGCACAAGCACTTCACAGGCTGTCTCTAAAATGGCTGTCAGGCCTTCCTTCAACACTTGTATTCTATTTTTTTGTGGTACTGGGGGTTGAACCCAGGGTCTTGCCTGTGAGGCATGCATTTTGCCACTGAGCCACACCTGCAGACCTTTTTATTTTGAGACAGGGTCTAACTAAGCTGCCTGGGCTGTCCTTGAATTTGCAATCCTCCTGCCTCCTCCTGAATAGCTGGGGTTACAGCGTGAACCATCAAGCCCGGCTTCTTCAGTTTTTTTGTGGGGAGTGGGGGTACAGGGATTGAACCCAGGAGTCCTAACCACTGAGCTACATCCCCAGTCCTTTTTAAAGTTTTGAGACAGGGTCTGCTAAGTTGCTCAGGCCCTCGTTAAACTGCTGAGGCTGGCTCTGGCTTGGACTTTGTGACCCTCCTGCCCCAGCTTCCTGAGTTGTAGGATTCCAGGTCTGTACCACCACACCTAAGAATTGGATTTTTTTTTACCTTTGGTAGTTGGGGGGGCTCTGCCTGCTACTCACTTTTTCTTCACTCTTTGCTGTGGTGACTGTTACCTTTGTCCTCCTGGCAAGTCATCAAGTGCAGGGGTCTTGAGGCGCCCCTAACATAAGTTGCCACTTGGCTGCCAGGTTTTTGAGGGTGTCTTCAGGGCTGTGAAAGCTACCCTTTGTTACTGGCCTGCCCTGGATCTGACTATCTTCCACACGGCACAGACATGGGCCCAATCTGTCCTAGGCATAGATGTGGTCCTCCAGGCAGGAACACTGACTGCCACAGACCCTGCAGGAGGCTGTGAACCAGCAAAGGGACGCTGCCTGCTTACCACTGCTTGGTGATGTCAAACATCATGACCACCCCGTTACAGTTCTTGTACACGTCCAGGAATTCGGCATCCAGGGCCATTTCAGACTCCGCCTGAAGACAGGAGTGGACAGGGTAAGACTGTGTCCAAGGCCAGGTCCCACCCGTGGACCCTCAGCCACCCGGAAAAGGCTGAATGGGACTTTTTCAACCTGAAGAGATAACATGGAGAGAACATGAAGAGAGAAGGCTGGGGTGAACCCAGGGTTAACCTGTGGTGAGTCCCTCAGCAAACTCCAACTCGGATGGGAGCCAACACTCAGAAATAGGGAAGCAAGTTCTGGAGCCATTACAACTTTCTAGAGCACATAAATTAGAGCCAGGTGGGTGTGTGTTGCACTTAATTGTCCTGCCTGGAAGAAGAGGGAAGAGGCACCCTGCCCAGAGGGAGAAGCCAGGGTACAAGCACCCTGAAACAACTAGGAGAAGGGCACAAGTGGGGACCACAGGACTGGGGTGCACTGGGCTGCAGACTTCAGGGCCACAGCCACGATTTCTAAGGGCTGAGGCTGCTCTGGCAGTCAAGTTAAGTGTAGCCACTCACATACTACCCAGGTCATTCAAACTCACACAGGGTCAGTGAAACCAAGAAGGGCAGGCAGGGTCACTCCCTTGGGGTGGCCACCCCAAACCCAACCTCCAATGGCATGGGGTCTGGAAGCAACCAGGAATGGTCAGCAGCCTACACATCTACAGAGTAACTGGGACACTCAGGGGAACCCAAGATGGGCAGGCAGAAAAGTCTGAAGGGCTGGAGACTGCCAGGGGTCCCAAGTGACCAAAGACAACTCTGTCTGGGGTCCTGACACTGCAGCTTACCTCCTGGGGATCATTCTCTGTCTTCAAGCCGTCACCTCGCTTTTTGCATTTTCCTTATAAAATGACAAACAAAACTTATGAGGTGGGATCCCTAGGCCCAGGGAATGCCTCAAGGGACATGCCTTTACCTAGTCCCACTCTGGCCCTGCAGTGCTACGCTGGACTGTGCCCCGCTCAGCTATTGACCCAAGGGAGTGCTCCTGACATCTCCAACTGCCCCTTGCTCAGTCTTGGGAGAAAGCGAAACATGGGGCCCCCATTCTGGACAGGGCCATTCAGAGGAGGAAGGCTGGCAAGAGACTGGGCCAAAAGATGCAGGGCAAAGGCCCAACGGGCCCAGCAGCTGCAGGAGGGCTCAGGTGGTTAGACAGCTTACAGACCTATGCCAGCCAAGTCTGCCACGGAGGGAAGGGGGCCTCCTGCTGACTCAGTCCTAACAGCCCCAAGGCCAAGCCCAGAGCAGGAGGGGACCCCCACCGGGGCAAAGCCTGGGTGAGCAAAGCTGCATTTCCTAAAGTAGTTCTCACGTTACTCCCTGAGATTTCAGATGCTCGTGCCCAGAGTGTAAAGAAAGCCTAGAATTCAACCCCAGCTGCAGCCTGGCTAGGGGGGGAGGAGGAGGACAGTGACTGTGGCCAAGGCTGCCAAGCCATGTCGTCGGCCTTCAGAGTCATCAAGGCTTTCCTGACAAGGGGATGGCCAGGGCCCTGCCTGGGGCTGACCCCAGGCTCTGTGGGGTTCTGCAGGACAACCACTCTGTCCTTCCCTCCATCTCTAGAATGTTCAACTGGGCAGGGGTGCTGCTCACGACACAGGAACTCCAGGGCAAAGAGCCCAAGAACAACCAGGCTCATTTATCTAAAGTGCCACATTCCATCGCATTCCTGAGCCCATTTCTGAACTTCTCACCATCTTCTGACCTGCCTGGGGAATCAGCCCCTCCCAAGTTCCTGGCCTGACCCTTATTGACCCTCCTAGGCTGGACACTGAGCCTCAGCCCTCCACACAGGCACAAGCATGCCGACAGCTGATAAGCTTGTTCCTGTCCACATCCTGATGGCAGAATCCTCCTGCTCAACCATCACACTTTTTTTTTTTAGTATTTATTTTTCAGTTTTTGGTGGACACAACATCTTTATTTTATTTTTATGTGGTGCTGAGGATCGAACCCAGCGCCCCGCACATGCCAGGCGAGCATGTTACCGCTTGAGCCACATCCCCAGCCCTCAACCAGCACACTCTTGGGAATGAGTTGCCACTGAGTGGCCACAGGACTAGCTCCTGGGCAGGAGGGCTGGAGCTGGACAGGAGCCAGGTGCTTGGCTGGTGGGACAGGGAGGCCAAAGAAATGAAAAGTTGGGGAAGCTGTTCCCTGTCTCCCTTCTTTCTAGAAGCCCTCCACATATCCATGAGCTCTGCCCCACCGTTCAGTCGACACCTGCAGCCCACGGGCCTAACCTGCCCGTCCTCACAAACTCGCCACTGGCCTCCAGCCCTCAGTCATCACTGCTCCCACTCTGTTGCTGTCAACAGTGCTCAGACCTTGTCCCATGGGGATGGGGAACAGAGATGCTTTCCTCCTCACCAGAAAGGGTGCCCCCATAAGGAGCAATGTGAGGCCAAAAGGAAGCTGGTGCTGCCTGGCTGCAGCCGATGAGTCAGGCTCTGCCAGGCAGGTGTGGACCCAGCGAGCTCCACCAGCCATCACCAGACCTGGTGCTGGGGCTAGCAGGGCAGGAGAGTGCTCCTGGACAGGAGGATCACCCTCCGTCCCCAGGCCCTCATGCCAGCTGAGAGCACAGCATGCCCCCTGGAAGGGGTCCCAGCCTGAAAGGCTGATCCAACACTGGGTTACAGCCCACGAGGTTTCCAGGACTGCCCATGGGACACCTGCATCCCACTGCAGCAAGTGCAAGCAAAGCTGAGGCAGGCGCTGGGGAAGCACAAAACTCAAGACCACGGCCCCTCCATGGGGCAGAAGTGTTTCCTTCTGAAGTGGCCAGGACAGGGTCATGTCGTGGGGGACAGCTCAGCTGGAGCTGCCTGGTGCCTGCAGGCAGATGCAATTCTTGCCTCGAGGTGGGAAAATATGACAAGGCCAGAGACACATGCACCGAGCGTGCAGAGGAGTTATGTGGAAGCACAGGTTGACACAGGTCCACTGGGATGGGTTCCAGATGGCCTGCCCCTGGAGCAACCACTGAGAGGAGGCCTCAAATATCCTTGACCCTCCAACATCCCAATGGACCTGAATCCATTCCCAAATGAGCATGGGGAGAGAAGAGGAGCATGCACTTCCTGTACTGGAAACCATAAGCCCACGGAAGACACTCTTCCCAAGGAAGCCCTGTAACTGGAGGACCCAGCACAGCCATGCCAGGGAAGCTGAGTATGGCAGGTCACCTCTTGATTAGCATCATGCTAAACACACACACACACACACACACACACACACACACACTCACACTCACACTCACAATGCTGGCACCAGGGAAAGCTGTGAGATCTCACCCCAAGGATCACAGAGGGGGAACTGTGACCTGATATAGGAAGACAGGAATGAGATCAGACACTGTCATGAGGATTGCTGGCTCTGTAAGTTTGGTTGGGGAAGGTCTGCATGTGGGCTGGGGTCTGCCCAGAAATGAAGGAGCAGAGCCTCAGCCGTAGGCACAGGGCCCTGACCTGTGGGGTGCTGCAGTGAGTTCCTATTGCTCAAGGAGTCCTGGCATTGTCCTAAGCACGGTTAACTCTCTGAGACCAGAAGGAGGGCTCTAGCACCACTGGCAATGTCTACACCTCCTTCCAGTTTCTCAGGTGGTCCATCCAGCTACTTTTGTCAGTTGATCATCTCCTGAAGGGGCAGCTACAGAGGCTGCATGGACACAGGCTGCATGGACTGCATGACACACCTCAGTGACCTCAGACACAGCATGACACCACAGAACTTGTGCCACCTGCTTTAAACCACCCATTAAAACTCCTCTTTGGAAAATACCCTGATCTAACAAAGGCACTGGCCAGAGGCCAGTCTTTCTTCCTCTGCCTAACGCTTTGCTTCTGTTCTATGACCCAGGCACCGAAGACTGTCCTCCCGACTCACAGTGCTCTCCCCATCAGGATCTGTGAGTGAAAACCTTTGTGCTTTCCTGCTGTGGTGTGTGGGATTTGCACCTTCCATCTGAACGAGGGGCTATGCCAGGCCAGGTTTTCCCAGCGCCACAGCTGTGGTCAGGCAGGCGAAAGCTGGACAGGGGTCGGGTCATGGGGGGACCACTAGGCATCAGGCCTTCTGCCAGATAAAATAGGTATTGCCCAAAAGTCACCTGTGTGCCCCATGGCCAGCATCCCTCTTTTCCCTTAGGACAGGGCGGCCAGCCACTCAGACACCAGAATCCCAGTGTAACGGGTGTCTGATGCCTGGGGAGCCACACCAGCTGTAATGAGGGGAGGCTCCCAAAGTAGCCCCATGTGGGCCACAGAGCTTGAAGCATGCCCACCCCAGCAGATGACTGGCCTCTCAGCATCAAACATGCCCAAAGCGGACTAGCCTGTGGTGGCAACAGGTCCACTGTGCACATCTACCCTGTTCACCAAACACAGAGGGGAGTGGAGGGGACCTGGAACCTAGAACAGGCTCAGGAGGGAGCCGAGGGCACCCAGAGCCTACCTGTAAACAGCTGTCAGCAAACTCACATCTCCCACAACACTACGGTGCTGGGAGTGTGTGACAGGGCAAAAGAGGTCTTAAGTAGGGCACAGGACCACAGGGTAGGTGCCAAGACCTGAGGTTATGGGCACAGAACATGCAAATGCAGTGGGGGTGTGTGTGTAGGTCCTCTGTTCAGAGAAAATGGAGCATGAGCAGAAAGTAAAGCACCACCTTACCTTTGTCAACGACATCCCAGACTTCGACTTTCACCACATCATCAGTGGCTGAAACAGGGAAACCCTCAGGTTAGTGCCCAGCATCACCCCTGGGAATCAGGGACGATTCTGGTGTGGCTGCCTGCCCCTCCCCAAGGTGCCAGTGCCCATGGGACCTGTGCACTACCTACTACCTGGCAAGCAGCTCCCTGGTGGTAGGCAGGGTGGCCCCCGCAGGCCGGCAGCAGAGCAAAGGCACAGTGCCTCCTGCCCCCAGGCACACAGCTGCTAGCTTCCTTGTGGGCTCTATTTCCCTGTGAGCTCTGTGTAGGCTCCGTGCCCACTTGCCCTTTTAGACCCAGGGTCTGGGCAGGCCTGAGCAAGGAAGGGGGTTGGCTTGGACAGGAGCCCTTCGCTGGGCCCTTAGCCTGCTGAGTCCTCAGGTCATTCCACACACTGGACAGACTGAACGCAGTATGGCCACCAGAATCACATTCCCCTTAACCGACTTCTTCATCTGAGGTAAGAGGGAACCCTGCTCAGTGCTGGAGGCCAGAGCTGTTGGACATGGGGAGCAGGTCCAGGATAGTGGTGGCCTTGTGACCCACCCTGCAGCCTCCTCCTCGGGTCTTCTTTAGGTCTTCGGGTCCACTCCGAGCTGCCTCATGAGAAGGAGGCCATTTTCCAAGTTCCCATGACCCCCTACCCTCTGCAGCAGCAATGCCCTACTCCAAAGTGTGCTGGGATGAAAAGAGCCCAGGACCCAGAGGGAGGGAGGACTAGGTCTGAAGCACACCCTCCCGCAGGGCTGATCCTGCCCAGTGTGCAGGCCTACAGGAGTGTCCCTGTGCTCCAGGAATGGCTACTCCTGGGCCTTCTGGGGAGCTTCAGTCTCTGGAAGTGCTTCCTTTACTGTCTCCTGAACCTGTGGCCACCCTGGCCTGAGACTCAAATTTGAGTTGAAATTTCACAGATTTAAATCCAGATGGGGTGATTCAAAAGCAGCTTTAATAAGAGCCCCCAAAACAGCCCAAATGAGTCTAGCTGGGGATTCCACAGTGTGGCCAGTGTTTCCTCAGTCTGGGGAAAACATCTCCAGGAGCAGATGGGCCAGGGACACTGACATTGGGAGGAGGGGGAACTCACTCTTGTAGTTCCAGTGGATGCTGGTGACCTGGATCTCCTGCGTGGGGATGTACTCCTCCACGAACTTCTTGCCCTGCAGCCGGTGCCACAGAGCAGTCTTGCCCGTATTCCTGTCTCCTCGGATCACTATCTTCACTGGAGGTGAGGAGAGGCAAAAAGAAAGGAAGAGGAATTAAAGTCACAACTTCAAAGGTCACGTCTACTCCACCACAAGGCCGTTTTGCAGGAATCAAGCCCCAGGTGAGTAAATGGGTAGGGAAAGAACTGGACAAGGCACATGGACAGCTTCTCCCAAGGCACAAGGAAGCCCAGCAGTGAGCGAGCACGGTGCCACTGGAAGCAGCAAGGGCAGGAGTCTCCTCCTAGGTTGACAGAGGCCACACCCTGAGCCATGTTTTCTAATTGGGAGAGCAGGATCTCCCCTGGGGGACTGCAGAGGACCCACAGGATGAGGGCTGAACCGCTGAACCACAGAGGGGTAGTAGCTGAAGTGCCCATGGTGGCACCCTGGGCTTCCATGGTTTGCTCCTGACCTACTTTCGCCACAGCCCCTTGTTGGTTGGTGCTGGGAATGAACCCAGGGCCTCAAAAATGTGGGCAAGTGCTCTACCACTGAGCTGCACCCCTCTCCTTTTATTTTGAGAGGATCTGGCTACATTGCCCAGGCTCACCTGGGACTTGCTTTGCTCCTGGTTCAGCCTTCAGGGTCACAGGTGTGGCCACTGTTCCCAGCTCCCTGGTACTCTGAAGGCAAGGTTTCACAGTGGGCTGCAACTTATCTCTGACTCTACTGTGTGCGCCAGGCCCTTGCCCTGGAGCCTGTTGGCTCCAGGTGAAGGACAGGGTCAGCAAAGATGAGCACTGCTGGAGCAAGTGAGCCTGGGGGGACATGAGGGGAAGCAGTCTCTGGGTTTTCTGGTAGCCCTGTTCCTGAGATGGGCAGTTCTGTGGGAGGGCTAAGGCACCCATGGCTGGGAAGGACCCCAGAGCACTGTGGTCAGGTCGGCACTCCCTGGGCAGTCTTGCAAGCTGTGTGGATAGTAGACAGCCTGGATGAAGACACCAAGAGCACCATGAATAGCAGGGACAGTAGGAATGAGTCAGGGAAGGGTCAGGAAGGCAGGGGAAGCTCAGGAGAGCCAGGCCAAGGGGCAAACTCAAGAGCTCCTCCGTTCATGTCCCTCTCCCAGGTTGTCTCATCGGGCTCCAGTGTCAAGTTCCTCCCTTCTCTCAAATTCTGTGGTGCCCAGGACCCCAGACACCAAAAACTAGTGGCCACCTTGGCCTCAAAGTTCAACTGGACTTGTCCTGGGCCATCTCTCGGTCTAACTTCTTTCCCCTGCTCCTACTTCAAGGCCCCTCTGTTCCCACTGATATTCATCTCTTCTCCTGAAAGCTGCGTTAAGTTGATTTCCGTACCTCCACATTCCTCCCAAGCCCCAACTTTACTACAACTTTTGAAAGTAGCAGCTGTTCTCAGATCTCAGGGACTCACCCTCTTCTACCTTCTTATGTTCCCAGAGAATACAAGAGCTTCATGCTCACCCTGTGTCAGCTAGATGCACATTTGTGCTACACACTGCAGGAGCTCCTGGAGTCTGTGACTCGAACCTGAGCTGCAATGTAGGGAGTGTGTGGCAGGGACACCTTCTGCTGGCTTGGAGGGGCACCACCCACCGGAGGCCTAGACTAGAGACACAAGGGGCCCTTGCCCTTCGCTCCTTCCACAGGAGTGAGACAGACAGAGAGGCAGTCTTCAGTCTGTTCTCAGGCAGCAGGCTCCGATCGCCCCTGAGAGGCCAACAGCCAGGACTGGGGAGGATGACTACCTACTCTCCAGGCGTGTAAAAAGTCCTTTTTTTTTCAGAACAGGGAGGTAACAGGGAGAGTATGTTAGCCCTCTATACCTGTGGGCAGCAAGAGTCACTCTTCGTGCCAGGCAGGGCCATGAGGCAGGAGCCAGGGTGTTGCTTTCATGGGACTTCAGGTTCTTGGACCAGTTGTGGCAAATTTTCTTAGTATCTACACAAAGCATTTAATCTGTCTAGATTTGTTGCTTACTGCATTTAAAATGCAGTATCTTTTTCATTTCTGAGCAAAAATCATGTCCATTTAAAACTAAGTTTTCCACGCTTGCATAATCATGTCAAAATGGACCCCAATATTGTATATAACTGTAATGCACTAGTCAAAACAAAAACAAACACAAACAAGCTGTGTGTGGTGGCACATGCCTGTAATGCAGCTTTTGAGAAGCTGAGGCAGGAGGAAGGATCACTGAGCCCAACAGTTTCAGGACAGCTTGGGTAGTGTAGCATGACCTTGTGTCACAATGAAAACAAAGGGGTTGGGGCTGTGGCTCAGTGGTAGTGCGCTTGCCTGGCATGTGTGAGCACCACATAAAAATAAATAAAGGTCCATTGACAACTAAGAAAAATATTAAAAAATAAAAAAATAAAAACAAAAAGGGTTAAGCCAGACATGGTGGAGCACGCCTGCAATCCCAGCAGCTCAGGAGGCTGAGGCAGGACGAGCACAAGTTCAAAACCAGTCTCAGCAATTTAGTTAGGCCCTAAAGAACTTAGTGAGACCCTGTCTCAGAAGTAAAAACTGAAGAAAAAGGGCTGGGTATGCTACTCAGTGGTGGAGTGCCTGCCAGGCCATGAGGCTCTGGGATCCAGCCCAGCACTGCACCTGCACACAAGCTCAGCGGTGGGCAATGTCTCCTGCTGACCTCACACTGGCCCTTTCAGAGTCCTCTCTCCACAAGGTCTTCCTTCCATACGTCTCCACTGGCTCCCCCTGGGTTTCCTCAATTCCTTGATTTGCTTTTCTTTGTCACCGGTGCGAGCATCCAGCAATGCCACCAATGCTTAGCGGAGACCCCTCAAGGGCTGGTATGTGGCATTCCCATTATTCAATTCTAAGTAATTTATTTCCATGACTACTTCTATTAAAGGCGTCACTTGATTTCCAAGTGTAAGATTTTAAATTCCTGGTTATTATTTGCCACTGAGTTTAGGGAAAGTGGTATAAATCCTTTGAAATGTATTGAAACATCTTATGGTCAGTTCTGAATTTTCCATGTGGGGTTAAAAGAATGCGCATTTTTTAATTGATAACTTTTCTCACATAAATTAGATCAATTTTTTTTTTTAACTTTACTAGTCAAATTGTCTTCTGTACTCATTTTTGGGGGCTGTTTTACCTTCAATTTCTTCTTCTTCTTTTACTTTCATAAGTATTTTTTATTTCTTTGTGTGGATTCAAGTTACTATTGGTATCCTTTCATTTCAACCTGCAAGGCTCTTTTTATCATTTCTTATAGAGCATGTTACTAGTGATGAACATTCTCCATCTTAATCTAGGATCAATTATAGATCATTATCTTTCCTAAATGTGCATCAGAACCTATTATAGGGTACAATATATTTATCAGCTTTGTGAACATTTAAAAATCACATTTAGTGATCCTGAATCTCTCCTGGTGTCTTGTGCCTCAGCACCCACGTACCCGTCATTAACATAACTAGACCTACTTGCTTCAGTGAGCACTGTTCCAGCCCTTGTGAACCCCCCTTATCTTGCTCTCCCCTCTGCTACTGCAAAGACATCAAATGAACCTTGGCAGGTGTTTTTCCTGTGCATGGTGCAAGGTTCCATGAACCCTTTCAGCCTAAAAAATAAGAATGTGAAAAATGTACATCCTTTAGTTCTAGAATTGTTTTCTTACATTAATTTTTTTGCCCCCCCTTCCTCCTGGTACTTGGTACTAAACCCAGGGGTGCTCTCCAATGAGCCACATCCCCAGCCCTCCTTTTGAGACGGGGTCTTGCTAAATTTCTCAGGCTGGCCTCAAACCTGTGACCCTCCTGCCTCAGCCTCCAGAATAACTGGGATTACAGGCCACCACATTAGCTCAATCAAAAATTTTTAGAAAAAGCAGTTTTAGGTTCTCAGCAAAACTGAGTGGGAAATATAGACAGATCATGCCCTGCCTGACCCCACAGCCCCGCTTCCCAGAGTCCATCTCTACCCTCAGTATACCTGTGGTGACTGGCACACTGCCCTTCCCTGCTTCTTGGTGATGCACATCCTGAGTTTGGACAAATGGGTGATGACGTTTGCTACACTGAAGTACTAAACAGTACTATAATGTAGTACTAAAAATTCCCCATCTCATTCGATTATGGTTGAATCCATCTGCAAGAATCTGTGGTGTTTCTCCTGGCTGCCTGGACCATCACCACCCAATGAACACCTTAAAGAAATCTCCATTTGAAATTTTTCTGGACGATATGATGATTCTGTGGGCACACCCACTCAGAAGTCAAGCAGTGATGACCAATTCCAGGGCACCATTCCCTTCTATAAACAGCTTCTCTGGAGGGACTTAACAAAGGCCCACCCTCTCCAGGGTCTGGTAAACAGCATGGGGCGAAGGGCAGCAGAGTCTACTTCTTCTGGACCTGGTGTCCACTTCCGAGAACAAGGAGCCAAGCAGCTGTGCACCCAAGTTCAAGACCTGCAGAACGCACTGCTCTCTTAGGTGTTCTCTTATACCATCCTCCAGGGCAGAGGACCACACTGCCACATGTGGAGGCTGGGTCTACTGCGAGTGCACCCTGAGAGGAGGGACTGGCATTTCTATTTTGTAAGCTTTGTCCCCGAGGGAAGAGATAACCTCTCTCCATCCTCTTTTCTTATTTTGTGAAGAACTCAGTTAACGTGGGTGACCTTGTTTTGGCTCAGGCTTCAAGAGAAAAGCTTCTTATGTTTCACTGTTACACACAGGTTTGGGTAGATGCCTTTTGACAGGTAAAAGCTTCTTTGTATTCCTAGTTTGGTAAGAAGTGTTTTGGGGGTTCATTGTTTTTGTAAATCATGAGTGTTGAATTCATTAAGGCTTTTTCCTGTTACCTCTTAAGATTGCACTGTTTTCTCCTTTAACCTGCTGGTAAATCATACCTTGAAGGATCCTTGCATTCCCAAGGCAATCCTACTTGTCTCAACACACATTCATTAGTGCTATTACTTTATGATTCTCTAGATTCCACTTCCTGTTCTGTTGTTAGGCTTTCACATCTGTGCTACAGGTGGCGCTGTTCTGGTCTGTTTGGGGTCAAGCTTATAGTCTTCAGGACAGCTTTCCCACCTTCTGCATTTATGTACAGTCTGGACACACTGCTCACGGGAAGGCAGGGTCCTGTGGAGTCATTTTCCAGGATACCATCTACCCTGAGTTGTCAATTTACTGGTATAAGTTACTCATAATATGTAGGACTGGAGACTAGGCTCAGTGGCACAGTGCTTGCCTAGCACATACAGCACCCTGGATTCAATTCCCAGTACTGCAAAGTAGTTACCACATTTTTTATATTTTATATTTAGAGATGTGTATTCTGCATGAATGGTATTTGTGCTTTGTCTTTCTTATTAATTTTCCCAGAGTTGTCTACTTTAATAGTAATTACACACAAAACACACCCTCTTTGTTTTGCTGAATGTCTCAATTGGTCCTTTTTTATCATGTCTATGCTTTTTGCCTATTATTTTCTTCTTTCTACTTGCTCAGGATTTATTTAGTTGTGCTAGACTGCTAACACTCTACCATTGAGCCACCACCCCAGCCCCTACAATTTGAATCTTAAACCCCCTGCTCTCAGGCCCGTGTATCACAGGCTTCATTCCCAGCACGATGCTACTGCAAGACAGTAAAACCTTTAGGAGTGGGGCCTTGTAGGAGGTCTTGGAGTTGTACCCTTGCAGAGGACAGTGAGACCCTGATCTCTTCTCACCCATGCCCACCTCGAGCCTCTGGACACAGGTGAGTGGCTTTTTTCTGCCATGGATTCCCATCATGATGTGCTGCACAAGCCCAAAGCCTGGGGCCAATCAACCCCCAACCAAAACCTCTAAGACTGAGCCAAGATAAACCTCTCCTTGTTGTAAGTTGACTATTTCAAGCATTTGTTAGAGCTACAGAGCGCTGACTGACACAGAAGTGTTTTCAAGTTTCAGAACAAAGCTGGGAGCTAGGTGCAGTGGCACATACCAGCTACTTGGGAGATTGAAGCAGGAGTGCCATTTGAGCCCATGAGAACAGCAAAGACAACATAGCCAGACCCTGTCAGTGGCACTGTCATCACAGAATGTGGTCCTCACATACATTCTTCTTTTTTTGGCGGGGAGGGGGTACTAAGGATTGAACCCAGGGGCCTTAACCACTGAGCACCGTCCCCAGCCCTTTTTTGTATTTTATTAGAGACAGGGCCTCACTGAGTTGCTTAGGGCCTCTCTAAGATGCTGAGGCTGGCTCTGAACTCGTGATCCTCCTGCCTCAGCCTCCTGAACTGCTGGATTACAAGCATGCGCCACCGCACCTGCCCTGATATAGATTCTTAGGTGTTTTTTGAGATTGTCCTTTTTCTTGGCTAACCCTTCTGAGAGGAACTGAAGAATCACATACAAATAATTGTTTTTTGTCTGCAATTCCCTCCCTGTTCCCATCCATTCTTTTACCTCCAAAGTGTGTTCTGTGTGACATTACTACAGCTGGGGCAGCCTTCTTATGGTTCATGCTTGCCCATTATCTTTTCCCAAGTCCTTATTCCCAGCTTTTGACATTAAGTTCTGGAGTGTCTCTTGGAGACCATATGGCCAAAATAAGGGAAAAAAAAAATCAGGCCTCCCATTCCTATTTTGAACTGATGAGTCTTGCTTGATGACACTGTGTGACTGATGACAGAAATGGTGTTATTTCTAACCACTTCATTTTATAATTTTAAGTTACTATCCTGGTTTTTCTTGCAGCCTTTGCTGTCTTTCATAGGCTGGACAAGATTTTTTCCCCTTCTTTTTACCTGGTATTTATTTGAAGAGTTGCAAACTATTTTTTCTTTGAACAGTGACTCTTAAAAATTTTAACATTCACATTTACTGTAATGTAGATTAATGTTAATACACTTTTCTTTTCAGTTCTCGTCCTGGTTTCTGTGATTTCTGCTTTTTTGGCGCCTTCTTTTATATTCTCGATTGTTACAGTCTGGATCTGAAATGCTCCCACACCCCATGAGGCTCATGTGTTGAGAGCTTCATTCCCAATGCAGCCATGTCCAGACACAGGCTTATATGGAAGTGACTGGGTCACGAGGGCTCTGATTTGCTCATCCACTGATGGCTTCAAAATTGAGTGGACTATTAGGATTAGTGAAAACTGTAGGTTAGGCCTAGCTGGAGAAGTAGGCCACTAGAGGCGTGCCCTGGAAGAGCATGTCTTGCTTCCTGGCCCTTTCCTTGTGTGCGCGCTCGTGCTCTCTCTCTCTCTCTGCTTCCTGGTTGCCTGAGGTGAGCAACTTTCCTCCACCTGCCCTTCTACATGTTTTCTGTCTTGCCACAAACCTAAAAGCAATGGAGCTGGCTGACCATGGACTGAACCCTTGAGCTAAAATAAACCTTTCCTTGTTGTTATTCTGGTATTTTGTCACAGAAACATACATATAAACCATTATCATTAATGATTAAGGTAACCAATGTATTTAGATTTCACTCACACCGACCAATTCCTCTGCTTACCTTTGCTTTTTAAATCCTGCACCTCTTTTGAGTTCAATTTCCATCTGTCTAAAGAACATCCTTCAGTGTATGCTTCTGCAACCACCTCTGTACAAAAGGCTACCGATCTGAGGCTGAAAGCAATTTTAACCATACTCCTTCCACCACAGCTGTAGAGCCAGGCACAGACTCCCCAGGCTGACCATGACTTAACTTAGGCCCTAAGCTCCCCAGAGCTATCCTTAGCTCAGTCCTCAGAAAGTGGTCTTTTTGCTCTAGAAACATCAAAGATTTCTTTTTTACATTTTGAAGTACTGAACACTTTCAATAATGTATCTAGTTGTGGATATTTTTTAAATTTCTGGACCAGCACTTCTTGGAGTTCCACATATTTCATGAACTTTGTAAAATCCTCAGTCTTCAATTCTTCAAATGTTGCCTTGTCTCCATTCTTGCTGTGCTTTCCTTCTGAATCCTGTTCAGACATGTGCTGGAATCTGCTTAGTTGCTCTGCCACACTTTTCCAGGACTGATTCTCTTTTCCATTGAGTTACTGTGCTGTTTCACCTGTCTGTCGACTGAATTTCTCTTGCAGGTCTCTGTCCCAGGATCCTCAGCAAGGCCAGCTGAGAGTTCCACAGCGAGGGATTCCTCCTTCAGGAGGCTGCCCCACACTAACACTTCTCATCAAACAGCAGGAGAAGAGGGTGGACTGACCATGGAAACATTCTTCCTTCTAGTTTAAATGCAAATGACTTCTAAAATGGGAATAAGATCCCACTGTCTCATTCAGGGTTTGATTCTGATTTGATGGGTGTGTTGGGACTCTGTGCATGTGTGATGTGACTTACTTCTCATTATCCTATCATTTAAAAGAAAATGACTAACTGGCCCCAGGGGACAATGTTCTATAAGAGATAAGTGCTTGGAAATAAAACAGTTGATAAGAATACTGAATCTACAATTATGATATTGCTGGTTTATGATATTGCTGGTCTGGGAAATGTGCACTAGAAATTTTGTATTCTAACACAGGAAATGGAAAACTTTCAAAATTGTGTATTATTTAACAATAATAACAATATCCTTCTAAAACGTAATTTTGGTACAAATCCACATTTCTCTCAACTTGGCACCTTTCACTGAGCTACTGGAGAATAGTTTTCTAACTCTTAAGAATTACAATTCCACAGCCCTTTTTAGTCCCTTCTACCGGGGACCACAAGGGGGCAGGCCTTTAGGGAGCCCTTTCTGAAAAAGTGATCAATTTGCAGTTCAGGTCCGATTTCCAAGGGACTACGATTAGGTTTAAAAGTATCACTGCAAGCAATAAATTTAAATAAAGAATCCAAATGTAGATTCTCAAAGATTTGCGTAAATGAATATTTTGACTTAATATTCTCTGCGCGAGAAATAAACGCAAAATGTCAAAAATCACACATCTAAAATGAGTTTGCTTTCAAACCTGCACAAAGTCTTCCTTATCAGTTTCTTTAATATGCCACATTACCATGGAAATATAATGGGCAACATAAGGGACCCCTTAAAGTGAGTTAAGTTGGGTGGAGTGTGTCCCAAAATCTCCAGAAATTTAGCGAATGAGTATCAGAGCAGGGAACCACATAAAAGCCTTTAGATTTTGCTATAGAGCCTACAAATGGAAAAACTCAAAAGAGGTCAAGAGGACAGTCCGCATCTGGGAGCTGCACAATTTACATAATTTATAAAGGAACATAGATCCGTCCTGGGCGCACGGGGCGTCTGCACAACCCCTCCTTCCGGCACGGACAGGGAGGTCTCCAACAACCACAAGAAGAGACTGTGCCTCCTGGAGCTTTCTAAATATATCCCTTGCAATTGCCTCTTTAAAAGAGAAGAGAAAATGCGTGGCGTAGCAGATATGATGTTCTGCTTCCAGCTGGGCACCAAGTCAACAAAGAGCCCACGGCTCAACCTAGAGCCCACCGGGCCTCTCGCGACCCCGGCGAGCGCCCCGGGAGCCGGCCTCCGAGCTCCCGCCCGCGCGTTACGTAACGGCCCCAAGGCGGACGCCCGCGAAAGCGGGCGGCTCTCGACGCGGCACTGCTCGGCCCGCAGCCGTCGGACGAGACGCCCCGGGACTGACCCGCGGCCAAGGGCCGCCCCCGCCAGGCCCGGCCCCGCGCACTCACTGTTGTACTGCACGCCCTTGGCGAAGCGCCTCTGCAGCGCCTGGTTCATGGACTGCAGTCCGGCGGGGATGTTCTTGTCCCGGCCCGGGGCCTGCTCCGATCCCACCAGCTTCTTCAGCGCGGAGAACATCTTCCCGCTGGACGTCCGAGCCGGGCGCGGCCCGCGAGTTCAGCGGCGGCGACGGCGCGGCGCGCCTCGCACCATGTCCCGGCTCCCCCGAGGCCGGAGCCGGTGCGGCCACAGGCGGGGTTCCAGCGGCGGGCGCGGCCTTGAGCTGCGCTCGGGGGCCTCAGCCGCTGCAGCTCCGCTGCGGCCCCCGCGGCCCCCGGCGCGGCCGCTGTCCGCCCGTCAGCGCCGCCATCTTGCTGCCGGCGCGGATACGGGGCGCTGCGAGGGACACGTGGGCAGCGCAAGAGCGGCGCGCCGGGCCCGCCCCCACGCCCCCACGCGCCCGTCCCCCCCGCACGCGCCCCGTCCCGCCTCTTGCGTCCCTGGGGGTGCTGGGGCACTCCTGGAAAAATGTTTATTCGTGCAACAATCCCGGGCGGTACTACTTCCTCCTCTTCTTGGCCGCCTTGAGCCTTTCCTCGATCAGTCCCTGGGCCTGCTTCTTGATCTCGGCCCGCGACGGGACGTAGCTGTGGTCCACGTCGCCAAACTGGAAGCTTTCTGCACGGGCGGGAGCGGGCCGCTGGCAGCCTGACCCCGCGCCCGCCACCCCGGGATTGAGTTCCCGGGATTGAGTTCGCGGGGTTCTGCGACCTGTGTTGCCTGGCGGTGGGGGAAAGGCTGACCCCTGGCGTGGCCCATTCTTAGAGAGGCATGGGCTCGGGAGTTACACCCAGGGATGGACGAACTACCCGGAACCACCTCCCTCCTGTGACTCACCCAAACCCTCTGACTTCAATCACCCAGGGCCAGGTACCAGGCCACCAGGGCCTGTTGGAATGAGCCAGTCCTAAGCTGCCCACCTGCCTTGCCTTTGGCCACAGAAACCCTACCCAGTGCTCTGGCCTGGGTCTCTCCTTGAGGCTCCCTGCTTGGTGTGCCCCTCCTCTCGGGAAAATTGTCATACTTCTTCTATGGCTATAGACTTTCCTGGTCACCACCGAGGCACCTCCATTAATGTAGTCCCTCTTGGCACCCCTGTCCCTCCAGGATGTCCTGGTCAGATGGAGGGGATATCTTCCCCTACCTTTGCAGCTCAGACCCACTTCTGATTGCCACTGTGGCCCCTCCCAGTGGTCAGGTCCTCCTGAGCAGCCTCACCTATCATGTCTTCCTCTGCATCTTCAAAGGTGATCCTAGTGTTGTGCTTCTCCTTCAGAGTTGAGGACTCCAGGGTGTCCCTCACCTTTGTGCTGACCTGTAGGTCAGTGCCCCTGTCAGCTTGGAGAGGACCTGGGCCATTTGGGTGCCCCCTGGCCCAGAACTACCTCCTCAGTCCTGGGCAGCATTTGCAGGCGGTCAATCAGGTACATGAGCTTCCCCTGGCAGTATGTCAGCTTACTAAACAAATCAAGGGTATCGGAGGGTGCCACTTCTTTCTGTAGGCCAGAGGATGGTCTCGTCTCCTCTCTGGCCCCATCCAGAGGCCCTGGGTACAGCAGCTCCTCCCTACTCTGCTGGTACCTGGGCAGCAGGCAAGGCGATGCCGATGAGCCGGATGTACAGGTTGTCAATGCCTGTCTGGAGGACCAGCAGTAGCTGCTGGCTCCTGGTCATGTGGTTGTAGGCCTCCTGGAGCCTGGCTTCTTCCTCCTGCAGCATGTTCTTTATCTTGGACTCAATGGACTTAAAGCTGTGGAGTATGAAGGGAAACACAGCAGGGAAAGTGGCACAGCCCCCAGGGCCCAAGGAAGGCCAGCCAGGAAGCCAGGTCTGAGCTGGGGACTGTGCTAACTCCAAAGGCTTAGGTGTTCAGACACCAGTAAGTGTGTCCCCCAGCTTCTACAAAGCCACAGACTCATCATCTGTGAGTCCCAGCTGTTGCCACATGGGGTGGTCCAGCAGTCCTGGAAGCTGAGTACCTGACAGAGCTGGGCATCTGGCGGAACTTGAGTAGTGCCTCCTCCAGCTCCAGCTTCTTCATCAGGGCCTCTAGCTGTACCCGCCGCTGCTCACAGTCCTCCATCTGCAGCTTCAAGTTCTCCTCTGTGTTTTTTTGAGCCAGGAAGCGGCCAGCGATGTCCTAACCAATCCAGGATACAGAGAAGCAGGTGTGGGCCCGGAAAGGCAAATGGGGCTCATGCAGCCTGGGCCCCTCCCTTTGGCCAGTGCAGGTTTTCTGTACCAGAGGCTCAGTCTGATGCTGCCTGCTGCCTGCCACTGAGGACTGGGAGTGGGGGAAGGAGGGCAGCTACAGGGCATGTGTGTCCTGGAAGAGAACCTTCACAATGGGTAAAGGATAATAACCCCACCTGTAGCCAAGGAGACCATGGATCACCTTGAGTTCCTGTGTGACGATAGACAAGCTCATATCAGGGACATGTATAGGAGCTCAAGGCCCAATAACAAACCAGGTGGGATTAAAATAAATGGGGCCTGTGGGAGGCAGCTGCTCGCTGTGGCTCAGTCAGGTCGGGAAGGGGTGAGAATTGGAGGTACAGGCTGTTCCTTAGTTTTTGGATGCTCAGGTTCCAACAGGCTCCATATCCTTGGAATGGGTTGCTTTGTCCTGGGAGTACTCTCCAGGGGCTGTGCCTTGCAGACCCAGCTCCTTCCACACCTGAAAGCAGCATATCTGGGGGGTTCAGCTTTCTGTGTCCTTTCCAGAGGGCTTGGCCCAGCTCAGCTACCTTCCTGCCATGCCCTGGGAGTGTGAGGAAGTCTTACCCAGAGGTGAGAGCATCGCACTGCAGACTTGACCTTCTCCACCCAAGCAGTCACCTCCGTCTGGTATTCAAGTTCTGCTGTGGAAGTTTCTTTCTTCTTCACTGGGAAGAAGAGAGGGGAAGAGGTGGTTAGCATGCAGGGATGGCCACAGGATGTCTCTGTACCTATCCAGCCATTGGGGAGGTCAGCTGAGGAATCAGGTACCCCAAGTCACCTGTACCTGTGACTACTCCCTTCTTGTGGGTCCTTCTGGGACACTCCAGGGAAGCCCCAGTGCAGAGGAGGGCAGGGGGCAGCATGGCACTGTGGGGCTTCATGGCACTTTCAGAGGCAGCTCTGAGAAGTCACTGGGTAACAGCCCCTAGGTGCTGGGGAAGGGATCCCTTGGCCACACAGGCCAAGGGCTCACAGCCTCTGCAGGGGCTATCTCCTTCACTCTGGTGGCTCAGGTTCTACTGGGCCTTGTGGTGACCTAACTTTATGGTCCCAGCCAGAGCTGGCCTTGGAGACCCTGACTGAGCAGGCAGGAAGCTCAGACTAACCCTTCAGAGTATCCGAAATCATCACATTGGAGGGGAAGTCCAGGTCTGTCTGGCCCTGATGGGAGAAAGCAGGTGAGAGTGAACTTGGCCCTCTGGAGGGAGTGGCCCTTCAGGCAGTCCTGAGTGAAGGGTCCTCCTGGCCCTCCTGTGCTGTGAGTCTTGGTGGGTGGGGATGCCTGCCAGGCCCATCCCAGGACGTACCCGGCGGTACTTCTCGCTGGTCTCCTTGGTGTGGATCTTGTCAATGAGCTTCTTCTGCTGGTTGAGCCGGTTCTCCCGTGCCCTGCGCTCCTCAATGAAGGACGCCTCCTTTTTCCTCATGTTCCTCTGGGAACACAGGTACACCATGGGGGTGCTGTCTCACCACAGCCACCGCTGGCCCTAGACCCAGTGGTCCATTTCAGTCCTTGTCTCACCAGGTTGTGGAGTACTGACTGAGGCTTTGGGCCATGCCCTTCTCCATGGAAGCTCACGCCCACTGGCCCCCACCATCCTCGTGGGGTAGACACCCCTTTGCCTCTCAGCACAGGGACTCCAGGCTGGCACATGCTTGCCCTCTCTTGCAGCCCAGGCTTTCCACAGCACTCGAGACCTGTGCATGTCCATATGCCTCCCAGCCCACTCAACCAGATTCCATCAAAGTGGACACAATATGTCTAAAACCAAATTCATCATCTTCCCCCCAAGGCCTGGCCTCTTCTAGCATAGCCTGCTGCAGGGGCTGGAGCCTGACCAGCTCCCCTGCTTGTGCTTGCTGACTGCTTTCTTTGTCACCATCCCCAGTGTCAAATCCCACAGCGGGGACCTCTTAAAGCCTTCTCTGTCTGTTTCTGGCTATTGGCCTCCACTGTAGGCTTGGCTAGGTGGCCAGCATTTCTGCCCTGGAGCCTTCCAGCCCTGGCAACCAGTGTGAACCATTTTGAAGCACAAATCTGACCATGTCTCCATCTCCTCCCAGGCCCCAGGTTAGGGGACCCTGCTGTCCCCACTGACTCACATACTGTACCTGCAGTTCTCTTCCTCCGGCTACATGTACCTATGTATCAAGATCCTTCACTTTTCTGTCCCTTCTCCTCCTGCGCTCTGGCTGCCCCTGAGTTGCTGGATCTTTTTTTCAGAACCCACTGAAGCACTGTGTCCTTGGAAAGCCAGCCTGGACCTCCCCTAGTAGCCAGCAACTCAGATGGACTCTGTGATACCCTACACATTTCTGCCACTCTGGCCCAGATATTGTGTAGTATTTCTTCAGGGACTAATGGATGGGCCCTACCCACTTCAGAAGGGTGGGTATGTCTCCCCAGAGCCTTTTAGAGGTCTTGGCACAGACTGGGTCCATGGGGGCCACCGCCCTGGGCACATCTACCTTATGACTGCCAACGGGAGCCCTCTCCCCCCATGCAGTGGGTGGGGCAGTCTGCTGGAGCCTTTCAGAGATTGCTGTGGTGTGGGCATGGGGGTGTCCCGACAGGTCTGGGCCAGCCACACAGGTTTGAGAGAGCCACCTGTAGCCACCCAAACCGTGGGGCCTAAACTCACCTTGACCTCATCAGTAACCATCATGGCTTCTTGGGACATGACTGACATGTCCGACAGTTCTGAATAGTAGCTGGCCACCATGTTCTGCAGCTTGTCCAGCTCCGTGGGGTATCCTATAAGCACCTGCATGGAGTGGGCACAGGCAGGTGGGCATGGAGGCCGTAGGCAGCGTCAGTGCTGCCCACACTATGCTGGCTTCCCTCATGCCTCCCTGATTCCCTTGTAGCCCCCACACAGAATGGATCTCACCCACCCTCCATCCCTACTGTATGAGCTCTTGAGAATAGTGATGGGGTCTGATCTGTGGCCCTAGCCTAGAGCAGGGCACAGGGACGATGAGAGAAATGTTCTGGGAGAAGCAGGCAGCCTGGAGACTCCCACTGCCCAGGCCTGAACATGGTAAGGAAATAATGTTCTACACCAAGAAAGACTGACTCTGGAGCCCAGGAGGGTTTGCTTGGGGGCAACTCCCTCTGCAAGTGGAGCAGAGGGGCTTGAAACCTGGGTTTATGGTCACAGAACCCAAGCTCAAAGGCAAGGCCACTCCTATCAGCCAGCCATATAACCTTGGGAAAGTTACTTAACTTCTCTGAGTGTCTCTGTCTGTAGAAAGGTTATACTGGTTCTTTCAAAAAGTTGCTGTCAGCATCAATGGACAATGTAAGATGGAGTGTTTAACACAAGGCCAGGTGCAAAGGGTCAAAAAGAGTTTAGCTATTAGTAGTCTGTTGTTAATAACCACAAAGTCCCGATCCTTGCAAAATTTTTAAAAAAGTGTAGATTGCTATGGGAATTTTTAAAAAGTGTATATGTTCTGAAAAGAAGCAAGTACTACAGAGGAGAGACATAAGGCATGCCCAAGCGAAAATATGGGGAGGGGGCCAGGAAAGAAAGGTGGGCAGGGCCTCTAGGTGAGCATCCAACACCAGGGCTGGAGGCAAGACAGGAGGACAGGAGGATGGAGTTGAGAGATGGGCATGGGGCCTGGGGTTGGGAACTAGACTCCCAAGGAAGAGCTGCCCTTCCCAGCCTATCCACCTGAGCCCAGTCTTAGGGCTTCCCCTGCCCACCTTTCTAGGCCCTGGGCTCTCAGGCAGGCCCATCATGCTGTTCTCAGCACCTGGCTGCCTGTGAATCTCCCTCCACATCTCTGCTCTGAAATGTGGGAGGCAGCGGGGCAGTGACAAACCTCCCTGAAAGGGATCTTGCCTCACAGTGGGATTTGTAGCCATCAGGGGCCAGGATCTGTTGTCTGCTAGAGTGGGGCAGCTGGATGGGAAGGCAAGCAGCAAGCTGTAGGCCCAGCAGACCTCCAAGGTACAGAGGTGTCAACTCTGTACCATATTGGGGAACTCAGGGCCAGGCTGGTCTCTGACCCTCACAGGCTCACACTAAGCCATTTCCTATGTGTGAGAAAGTCCAAATGGCTCTGCTACACTCCACAATTGCATTCTTGAAAAATGAAGCTCTTAGATGTTTCCAAGTACTTTAGAGCCCTGTTTTGTTGGCAGCCTGGAGGAGAGCTCAGGTCTGGGGGCAGCCCCGTCGCACCGAGACCCGACCCCCAGGCCAGGGTGGGGAGAGGGGCTCACTTTCTTCAGGTAGTCCAGCAGGCCCAGGTACAGCAGGTGGATGTTCTGGCAAGTGGTGATCTTGATCGTCGTCTTTTCGATGTTGTTCTCCAGCTGGCGGATGACCTGGGTCAGGTACAGGGTTCATTGAGAGCGCCTGGGGACAGGCCAGCCAGAGGCAGAGACCCTGCCCAGCGCTCAGCTTTCTCCCAAGAGGTCGCTCCACTAGTGCAGCCCCTCGCGCATGGCTGCGCCTTCTCCACTGGAATTCCGCTTCTCTAGAGGACCTGCCCTGAGGCTGAGTCCCCTTCAGACCAAGGAGCCCTATACTGCAGGGTCCACCAGCCAACAGAGCCCCGCCCCCGTAGCCCCGCCCATTCGGAGGCTCCGGCCTGGCGAGCTCGCTCCGCGCCCGAGGCACCTGCAGCATCCACTTCTCCTCCTTGGAGGCTTCTGACTTGTTCCGCAGGCTGGCCAGCTCCAGTTGCATGCTTTCCAGCCTCTCCCCGCGCAGCCGCACCAGATGGATCAGCACGTTGTGCGCGTTCACACGATCGAAGACGTACTTGCGCAGATTCGCCCGCGCCACCTGGGTCGGGGAGGGCAACCGTGCGTGCGTGCGCGATGGGGCGCCGCGGGGCACCCAGGAGGGACGCGTGGCTGCCCTACAGGAGCCCTGGGATGGGAACTTGCTCTTCCCTCCACAGGTTCCGGAGCGCTGTACAGTTAGGGGTGGGTCATGGGGCGGGGCGAGGGGTCCGCCCCTGGCTTGTCAGCCTCGGTACCTCCACGGCGCTGCGGCCTTGCGCCATCCTCGTGTGCACGTCCTTCCCGCAAGCTTTGGAGATGGTCCACTGGTCGTTCTGCGGAAGGGCGGCGGCTGAGCCAGGGGTAAAGCCCCAGGCCTCCTCCAGCCGCCGGCCCCTGCAGGCATCTCCCTGAGGCCTCTTTTACCAAATACTAGCCCAGCACCAAGACCTCTGCTCCTGGGGCCGCCGGAGGAGATCACCGCGCCACCCGACTGGCCACGCAGGAGGGTCTGGCTTGGGCGCCAGGGGCGGGGGGTTTGGAGAGGGACGCCAGAGGCCCCTGCGGCGGGACTGGGACGTGCGTTTCAGATGCTGAGCCCTCCGAGTGGGTGGTGAGGAACCTGCCCTGGGCAAGGGTCATAGTCAATCTCTCCCCACAGCCCCCTGCCTCAAGAGAGGAAAGGGTGGGGGATGAGAAGAGGGGGTGTGTATTTCTTCAGCTCGAGCCCGCCCCCATCCCCCACCTGCGAGGAGGGGGCAGGGCTTGGGCACCTTCTTGGCCAAAGCCCAGTCCTGGGCCCCACGGCGGATGTTGCTGCGCAGAAGGGCCTGGGTTGCTTTGTTCTGTGCGATCTTGTCCTTCACCCCCTGGATCTGGAGCGCCCGACATTGCTCTGTAGTGAAGGAGGGGACAGGGTGGCCAGGGTGTGGGCGGGGAGGCAAGAGAAGGGTAAGGGAGAACACTGCTTCCCCAGCCATGCTCCCTCCTCCCACTCTTCTCTGGGAGGAACGGGCTCCATTCCTCTGCAGAGGTGATCTGCAGGGTTGTCAGTGAAAGAGTGTTGGAGAGGCCCAAACCAGGAATGGGGCATCCTTACTGTCTTCCAAATATGCTACCCACAGAAGAGGCAGGCTCTTCCCGTCTCTTTGGTTCTGGTGCCCCAGTTGCTCTTAAGCTCACAAATCTCCTTTAGGTTCCCTCCTTCATACAGCCCCCTCCCATGGCAGACCCCTTAGATTCCCTTCTCCCAGCCTGGGCCTTGGGGATGGCGGTGGGGGTATAGTTGGATGACCAGTTGCTCCTCCATGTCCTGGTGTTAAAACTGAAGGTACTGGTCCAAGAACAAGGAACCAAGAACCCTTGGTCCCTGCAGGCCAAGTTTCAGCCAGCGCAGGGCTCACCTTGGAGCCGAGTGATGGTCCTTAGCTCCTGACTCTCCACATCTGCCTCATGCACTTTCATGATGGCTCTCAGGGTCCTTCGGGATCCCTGTGCGCTGCCCACTCTCCCTGTGTGTTGTCTATTCAACAGAGCCAATGCTCAGATTGTCCCTGGAATTTCAGCCCATTATGAGGGTGGTCAGGGTTCTCAATGCCCAGAGAATATGGAATCCCCTCCTCCAGCCAGCCTCAGAATCACCTCTGGACAGTTGCCCTAATGGAAGAGTCTTGTGGTGGCTGCTCACTGCTTAGGACCTCTGCTGTGTCCAGGAACCTGTTTCCTTGGTGGTGGTGGATAATTTGTAACTGTCTGGCATAGCACCCCATGCCTGCACCTCTGCACCTTCCATGTTCCCTCCCATGCCCCTAGGCTGCTTCTATAGTCTCTGGACTGTGTCTCCCAAACCTATTCTGATGTCTTTACCTTGCAGGAACTCTATCCCCCGACCCATGTTCCAACTTCAAAGTCCATACCCTGGGTGACCTGGCTTACCATTCACTTCCCCATTTCTTCCACCTTCTCCTGATCTTTGCTGTGCTGCCTGGAGCCCAGCCAGTCGGCCCCCACCTCCCTCAGAACCCCTGGGCCTTTGTTCAGAAGTTACTTTCTCTAGGAGGGCCAGCTCCCTGCCCCTGACCCTTCCCTTTCCCCTAGAGTAGTGTGCATGGAGAAATGAACAGCCTGGGATGCTGGGGACCACATGAGATATAGGTACCTCTTCCCCAGCCTTGTTGGCATGGGTTTTTTATAACAAAGCACCACAGACTAGTGGCTCACACAAGTTTATTCTCAGTCCCGGAGGTTGAAGTCTAGGATCCAGGTGCCAAAGGCTGGTTTCCCTGAGGCCTGATTCCTTGGCTTACAGACACTGTCTTTTCCCTGGGCCCTCAGGGAGTTGTCTCTCTGTGCATGTTTGTGTCCTGATCTCCTCCTGTAAGAGCACACACCGGTCACATTGGATTAGGCTCCCCATGACCTCATTTAACCTTTATGTACCTTGTTAAAGACTCTTAGTCACATCCCAAAGTACTAGGGGACACAATCAGACCACAACATACACAATTTGGTGTCTGGCGGAAACAAGCTTGCTAGCTCTCCATTCTCCCTTGGATACTGACTCCCTGAACTTCAGTGGGACATGTGCCTGGCCAGAGCAAAACTGCCTTCCTGGGTGTCCCTACCATAGATGCTCAGTTCTGGCCAGTGGTGTGTAAGCAGAAATGGTAGGTGACCTGCTTTCCTTGTCTCCTTTCTTCCTCCTGCATAATGTGATAAAGAGACAATGCTGGAGTCCGTGTGACCACCTGGCACCATGATGAGTGGTCATGGAGGGAGCAGGCTGAAAGGAGCCTTGTTCTTGACTAACCACCCTGGCCCGCTACTGTGGTCTGAGCAGTTTGTCCTCCAAAACTCATGCCAGAGTTTAATACCCCTTGTTAGGTATTAAAAAGCTGGAAACTTGGACTGTGGTGTTCAGAGGTGGGGGTCTCTGGGAAGGGGTTAAAGATTAGACAAGGTCAGTAGGGTGGAGCCCTCCTGATAGAAGACTGGTGGCCTTGCAGGAAGAGAGAAAGAACAGGAGACCCATATGCTGTTGCTCACCAGGGATGCGCTGGGCCACCTCTGGACCTTGTCAGCAAAATGACCATCACCAGATATAGCCTCTCAAGCTTTGACCAGACTTGGGCCAAAATAAATCCCTTTTCTTTATAGGTATGGTATATTATGGGCACCAGGAAACAGATTAAGGCACCCACCTGGACTTTTACAGGAAAGAAAATAAAGTTCTAGTTCTAGTTTGCCTAAGCCATTGTTATCTTGGGCCTGTGGCCATTCTGCCTTCCTTCTGAGACACCCTCAACAGACATTCTGAATGAGTGGCTCCAAGATGCCAGGGCAGAGCTGGCTGACCCAGCAGTGGGCCTTCTAGTACGGGGAGTGGAAGTCTGGACCATCTCTGCCTCTGTCTTTGTGGACTGTGATGAAGGCCATCTGGCCTTCAGCTTTCCTTTTCCATGGAGAGGAGGCCTCACCAATAGGTGAGTTTGGAATGACAGGGACGCCACATAAAGAAGCCTCAGAGCCAGGAGGAATCCGAATTCTGGGGTTCTGCATTAGGAACTTCCTTCCCACATCCTCGGCAGTAGCTGTATTGTCATAAAGATGACATCTGATCTTGGGCTGGGGTGGTGGCTCAGTGGCCTAGGGCACTGGGTTAGATTCTCAGCACCACATATAAATAAATGAATAAAATAAAGGTTCATCAACATCTAAAAATTTTTTTAAAAAGGAAGATGACACCTGATCTGTATTTGTTTCCCTTTGGTAGTACTAGGAATTGAACCCAGGGGTGCTTACCCACTGAGACTTTTTTTTTTTTCTTTTGACAGCGTCTCACTAAGTTGCCCAGATAGGCCTTGAACTTGTGGATTCTGCTTCAGTTTCTCAAGTGATCTCATCTTTGCTCTACCGCTGAACCTCTTGCCCTTTTTTGTTTTTTAAAACAGAGCCTCACAAAGTTGCTGAGGTTGGCCTTGAACTTGCCATCCTCCTGCCTGAGTCTTCCAAGTAGCTGGGATTATAGGCATAGACCACCGTGCCTGGCTGTTCTCATTTCCTTGCCCCCTTTATTTTCAGTTGCTTTAGAGCTCTGGAGGGAAAAAGGACAAGCCATTTATTAGCCTCACACAGCCAGCACCAGTGGTCTCCCCAGACTTGTTGTGGGTGTAGGGGCTGGAAAGGGGACACCAAAGTACCCAGGATGCACAAGTCCCTTCCCACCATGCAGGCTACCTTCTCCACTTGTGTGTGTGCAACAGGGCACAACCATTTCTGGCTCACAGTGTTTACCCTGTTTCTTGCTGCCCCACAGGAGAATGCCCATCCCCAGAACCCTTCTGAACAGATGACCACCTGGGCAGGTCCTGGTTTGGGGGCAGCAACAGCAGAATGCACAGGTCTGTCAGGCTTGGACAGGCATGTGTGCAGAGGACACAGGACACACCTAGGTCCTAGAACTTCAGCTGCTTCTTGCTGCCCCCCAGGCCCTCTCACCTGTGCCTCTGTCTCTGGGAAGTTGCCCTGTCTCCAGGAAGAGCCAGAGGTTGCTGCATTTCTGCGATTCCACTCTTGTCACCCCATAGCTTGCCACAGAGCCTGCAACTGGGGAGCAGGAAGCAGGAGGGTGGTGGGCTGTGGGGCCTTAGCCTTTGCATTTTTCAGAAGGGAAGGTCAGCACAGGCTATGTCTGGGCAGACATGGTGGGTGAATTTGGACAGGGCTTCTATGCAAACTGGAGGCCCAGCCAGAGGCAGGGGTGATGGAACCATATTCTCAGCAGAAACCCATCCTTGCTTAAGACATAGTCACCTGTGCTATTCAGGGGCATTTCAGGTACATACTCTGGGATACCCACCCACAGCCATCAGCACGCTCCACTGCATCGGGTACGGGAACTTTCTCTGAATGAACATCTGCAGGCCGAAGGTCATGCCGGTTCCTGCCAAGAGCCAGGGTCCACCAATCAGCCAGTAGGCTGGGCTGGCTGGGGACCACCTGGGTGCTCCAAGTGCACCTGCTGGCAGGCGGCTTGGCGCCACCTGCTGGAGAGTCAGGGTGGGACAAGAGAGTGCGGTTTTTTTGGGGTTTTTTTTGACACCACAGGACACCTGGACCCAGCCTACCTGTGACAAAGGTGAACACGCCCTTCATGAAGGCGTTTGACTGGCACGCAGCGTATTCCCCGAGTCCCTGGGAGACGGAAGGGAGTTCGAGGCTCAGTCCTCCCTCCCTCTTCTCTCACCTTCCCTCCAGTCCCTCCTCTGGGCAGGCCCTGGTCGTGGAGGGGTAAGACGCTGGGGACTGAACACGTCCCACCTCCCCTTAAGCCCACCAGGGACGCCCCAGGCCCAGGCAGGAGCGTGCCCCTTCGCCCCTCCTTCCTGCCGGGGCTCCCAGCCAGCCCCCCGTCCCGCTTAGGTCAGCTGCTGAGGCCCGGGGCCGCGTTGTGGGCCGGTCTTCTCACCGGGTGTTTGGCGGCCACGGCGTCGTCGACGCGGGACAGGCCAAGGGTCACCATGGTGGCCTGGTAGGAAGCGCCCGCCTGCAGAAGACGGCGAAGAGAGGCGGGGATGGGGGCGGGAACGGGGGCGGGAACAGGGGCCCCAAAGCGCCGCCTGCGCAGGCGCAGCCACTTGCTTCGCGGACGCGAGAGAAGGTCGTGGTTCCTGTTTATCAAGCTGGGGACGTGCTTCAGAGCTCCACTCAAGGGTTGGAGTTCTTAAAAGCAACCACGAGTATGATTTGGAATTATAATCATATGATTATAATTATATAATTGTAATTCCAAATTATAATTTGGAATAATTATTTAGCAAAGTACTTTCTACAATACTGATTAAGCCCATTCTTGGTACCAATTCTGTTCTGAACCTGGGGTCCCACGGGGGACTTGGAGCCCCTGCCCTCAGAGTCTGGCTGACCCTTACTGGCCTCCAACCCAGGAGCGTTGGAAGGCCCAGGCTTCGGGCACCCCTCGGGAGGCTCTCAGAGTTCCCAAAAGTGTGACCCAGCAGTGGGGAAGCAATAGATAGTGTGAGAAGAGGGAGAACCCACAGGCCTTGTCCGTGAGGCTGGAGAGGATGAGAATGCGGGGACATGCGTCTTGCGAGACAGGAGCAGGAAATGGAGCGGAGGAGGTGGATGATGAGTTTCAGGGCAAATACGCTGGAGGAAGGACAGGAGAAACGTTTAAAACAGGTAGAAGAGATGTAGAAGGAGGGATAGGGAAATGCAATTGCAGACTCAAGTTCCTAGACTTCCAGACCTGCCCCTCTCCAAGCCAGTGTCTCTCCCAGACCTTTACCCCCCAAAATTTCTGGAAAAGTTACTGTGAACTCACCCACTTATAAAATTTACTGTGTATACTGTTAATTAGCCCACCAATAAATAGATTTAAGTAAAGAGAGCTATGACATTTTAAGAAATCTGTAGAGGACAAGACTGAGATCATCTCCACACACCTTTCCATACCCACTTCTCACCAAGTTTCCTCTGAAGAAGAGCGAGGAACCTCCAGATCACGTCTCTCACTGGAGATGGCCACGTCCTCCCTGAGTGTGAGCTCCTGCTTTCCGCAGGAAGACTGTCCTCTACTGATGTGCTGCAGTTCTTCTCTATCGTGTCTGCCAAGGTCTCAGCTGACCCTGAGTTGAGTGCCCCCTTTCTCCCAAGAACTCTTTGGGATCCTATCCTGGAGATCTCTCTTCTTCGGTGACAGGTTGGTCTGGCTTGCTGTGAAGTCCAGTTGGGTGGTGCAGCCAGGTGGTTTTCTCCTGTTGGGCTCAGACAGTGTGGACTGGATGGGTTTGGGTGGAGCTGGCTAGAATTTGCTAGGTGAGTGTGCCTGGGTTTGAAGCTTAGTAAGTTGGTTCTGGTGCCTTCCAACAAGCTCAAGGGAGGAGGGAAGACAAGGGGGCATATAGTCAAGGGTCAGGAGCTTGGAGGCACCCCGTAGGGTAGCATGATGCTGGAGTGAGGACAGAAAAGCAGTGATTTGAAAGCCAGCAGGTAAGGTGAGGTGAGGTGAGGTGGCCAGGGCAGGAGGCTGGACCTGAGCAGAGGAGAGGTGTGACCTCCAGACTGAGAAGGTAGGCATGCACCAGCCACTGTTGGTCCTGAGGGTTGGTGGGAGCATGAGCCGGTTGCTAAAGTCCAAACGGTGGGGAGTGGAGATGCCAAAAGCAAGAGGGTGGCTTGGGGAGTGGATGTGTCCTCAGGGCTCTGGAGAAGGAGGAGGAAGGTTTAGAAGCAGCCATAGAAGAACTGGGCCCTGGGTAGGATGGGGTGGGAGGAGCACACATGCTGAAGGCCGCAGAAAACCTGGGCACAGATCCTGCTTGGCATCCATGGCACAGCCACAGAGATGTGGTGCTTTCAGTTCTGGTCTTCTGAGGCCTCTCTCCTTGGCTTGTAGATGGTGCCTTCTCCTCAGTCCTCATACAATCTTCCCTTTGTGCCCATCTGCTCTGTATATGAGGGTTTAAGGAATGTGCCTCAGGATTGGGGCTAGTTTCTATGGCTTAGCAGCAGGTTTGACCTTTCAGGGCTTGGGGCGATAACCTAAGCAGCTTATCAGTGCCCGGAACATTCAGGGGCAAACTTGGGCTCAAGCCTGCAGGGAATGCACGCCGCTGGCCCATCCAGGATGGGAATTGAATAGCCCACTCGAGTGATGCTACCCTTCCCAGAGCTTCCCAGAACACACCAGAGAAAATGATCTACCAGACAGCAGGTTCCTTTCCCAATAAAAAAATAAAAAATAAAATAAAAGGGGCTCAGGATGTAGCTCAGTGGTACACAGCCCCTGGGTTCAGAACAAACAAAACAAAACAAAGACCAATAGCTTTGATTTGTGAGAAATAGAAGGTCTGGTGCTCCATTTTCAAAATATAGTATTCAGCTTTATTTGGATCAAATTGTAGCCATTTTAATTGGAGTCCTTCCCACCCCAATTTAAAAATTAGCCAGTCATGTACATTGTACCCCTAAGTGCTCCAATCAGGGCGAAAGGTAGAGCTGCGTTAGGGATTTAAATCCGCAGACTGGTGCAAGTGGGCTTGCTGCCAGGTCCCAGGAGCACCCCTTTCTGGCAGAAGTAAAGGTTTTCATTGCCTTGGCCACTTTTGAGCACGTGTTTGATTTCTTGCAGGACCTAGTTATTTCTAAGGATTGGAGGTGGGGATCTGAGCTTAGTGCCTCACTTTGATAGACTTATTTCTCCCTTTTAAAATTTCTTGTAAGGCTGGGGTTGTGGCTTAGTGATAGAGCGCTCGCCTCACATTTGTGAAGCCCTAGGTTTGATCCTCAGCACCACATAAAACAAATAAATTAAATAAAGCTATCGTGTCCATCTACAACTAAAAAAATATACATATATGTATTTTGTGTGTGGTGCTGGGGATTGAACCCAGGGCTTTGTGCACGCAAGGCAAGCAATCTACCAACTGAGCCATATGCGCAGCCCTACAACTAAAAAATATATATTAAAAAATTCCTTGTAGTTAAAGATGCTTTCTTTTGAGCCCAGTGAGGTAGCCCACACTTGTAATCCTAGTGACCTGGGAGCCTGAGGCAGGAGGTCACAAGTTCAGGGCCAGCCTCAGCAATTTAGTGAGAACCTCAGCAACTTAGCAAGATCCTCTCTCAAATAATTAAAAGGGCTGGGGGGTGTAGCTCAGTATTAGAGTGCCCCTGGGTTCAATCCCCAGTACCAAATAATAATAAAAAATAATGATAAATTTAAAAGACTGATGGTTGCTTCTTAGTGAAAGTGATGCATGTTCCATGTGATATCAAGAGCAATGCAGTTGATCCTAAAAGTGAAACACAACTGCAAACCCAGCAGTGCTGGCGAGGGCTCAGACCTTGGGGCACAGGAGCTGCAGGGTGCACAGCAGTATGGCCCGTGGTTCTTGCACCTGCTCCTTCCCAGGGCTTGGGGTTGGGGGCTGGGCAATGCCCCATTGTCCTAGAAGAGCACGGACCACATCCAAAGTCCACCTAGACTCCCTCTATCTCTTTCTGGCCTCAGTGCCACTTACACACCCCAGGTCTGCAGTCTTCTCTCACTCCCTAGCTCCCGCTGCTGAGAACCACACAGCTCCAGGGCAGATGTCGGTCCCCAGCGAGAAGAGAAGTGACTTCCAATGTTCTAAGCTGCTCCCAGTTACTGGCCTAGGCCAAGGGGCTGTAACCTCCTGCCCCAGAGCTCAGGGCTGCACCTCAGTCCCTGCCCCCATGCACCTTTCTGGGGCTGGGAAAGCTTCTGGGTGGGCTGGTCTCCTGAGAGTGAGGGAGGTATGCATCTCCCCAAGCCTCAGACCCCTGAGCCTGGGTTTCCCCAGATGTAATGGGGGAGGGTCTGCCCAAGGCCTCTGTTCTCCTTCTGGGTGAGGCCCTGATGCCTGCCGTGGCCATCTGCTCTGCTGCCTGTCAGCAGGGCCACTGTCTGGCCCCTCATCCTTGCAGGGTTCCCATCTGCCTGCCTGCCCCCTTGGCATTCTGAGGCCAGTGACGGCCCCTCTGCTCTGCGGCCTCAGGGACCAAGGTGGTGGAAGAGCTGCCGTGGTAAAGAGACTGCTGGAGGGGAGCTCTACCCCAGAGACTTTGCGTGCCTCTTGGCCAGGGTGTGTGCAGGGCTGTGGTGAGGGCTGATCTTGGCCCACCCCCAGCCATGGGTCTGCTCCTGGAAGTGGGTCCTGGAAGCTCCAGCTGCCTGCTCCCTCTCTCCTCCTGGTGCTCTGGGAAGTGGCCCAGAGGTAAGGTAATCTTGGTGGCTCTCTGGGCCTAGGCTTTGAGGCCAGCAGGGATGCCTGGGGCCTTCCCTCTACCTGCCACATGCCTTCTTGGCCCAAGCCCTGGCAGGGCCTCTGGGGGTGTTCTCAGGTCCCATGCTTTGGTTGTCTGACCCTTGTTAAGGTCATGGATGGAGTGGTCCCTGCATACTCGATTATATGCTGGACAGTGCTCAGGAGGGAGTGAAGGGACGGGAGGGGGTACAGCACAGACAGCATGCCAGCGGAACACGGGGCTTCTTCTCCCCTCAGTGTGTTCCCCCTCCATGTGTGACCCCTTTTGTCACCGCCCCCTGGATGGGCATGGCTGCAGGGGTGGTAGTGCTGGGCCAGCCACCCATTCTCCTGCAGCCTAGGCTGCCCAGATCTTCCTCTCAGCAGCCTCGTAGGAGCAACCATGTCCTGGGCCAGTCAACCAGTCAGTGCCCTTAGTATAAAGCTCCCTGGGCAGCCAGGCAGGCTGCACCTGTTCAGGTTGCATGGTGGCCACTGTGGTACCATCAGGCCCCCTTGGACACAGAGACACAATTCTTCAGACTGTTCGTGTCCTTGTCCTGGTTGGGGCTTGTGAAGGGAATGTCCTTGTGACTCAACAGGGAGTCTCCTGGAAAGACCCATAACTGTCAGCTCTCCAGGGCCAGCTGGGGTGGGTGTCCTCCAGTTTTTTCTGGGATCCGTCCACAGATCAGCTTGGACTTCAGTTCTCTGGACACTGGAATCAGCTATACTCGGCTTGGGAGGCTCCACCTGGAAATCCCACAGGTCGATTTGGAGCT